TTCTCTCTCTCCTTTGACCTCGAGATAAAGAGAGACAAAGAAACATTGAAACGCGCGGCAGAAATTGTACGATCTTTTTAGCGGCTCGGGGGAAGCTCCGCGAGCGAAATAATTAACTCGCGCGCGCGATATTCCACCGTCGCGTCAGATTCGCCGTGGCCGCGACATTTTTATGCCGGCACGCAGTGCCGATAATAAAAAAGCGGCGTTTCCGTAATACCATCAAAGGAAATGAAACACTCCGAATAGCCGCAAACCTGTCGTTTTGCAAGATTTCGAGCATTTTTTTTTTTTAAGCCGGCGTTTACCAGCCGGATGGCGAACTACACTGGTCATATGATCAAAAGTTTCGTCTCTTCTCGCGTTTTTTTTTTTTTTTTTTTTTTATTCTCTTCTAATTTTCCGCGCAGATCGCGCGGTCTCTCCTTTGTGCACGTGTGCGTGCGCGCATGTGTGTGTACGCGCGCGCGCGTTATTTTTTCCTCCTTTGACATGCGTTAAATCATTATTGCAGATGATGCAAGGTAGCGGTATGCAGCAATCACCGGACGGCCTGAGCCTGGACACCAGTGGTTATCAGCAACAGCTCTATCTGCAACAGGAACACTCGATGCAACCGATCAATGTCAGGTGAAGCACGACTCGATTACCCGGCCCCTGTCCTAAAGTCGTCCACGTCCTCTAACGTTAACATTAACGTATCGGGTACGCGTCCCGGAGCTCCGTGGGTGCACTTTTCTCAGGCGCCCGTTCACACACAGAGTATCGCGAACGTATATTAAAGGATCGATTAATAATAGAACGAGGAGGGAGGGAGGGAGGGAGACGGAGAGGCAGAGGGAGAGGGCGGTTTGTTCTCCGGCAAATTGAATTCCAGCTCGCGGCGTTCTCGAATTAGACGTGCCAGGACCGAAGGATATCCCGAGAGCGTTCTCGGAGGAAGCTCTCGAAAAACCGAAACGTCGCGACTCTCTCTCTCTCTCTCTCCCTCTCTTTCTGTTTGCCGGGTTCTTCGTCGTCGCCGTCCTTCCTGCCGTTCTTCCAACACGAAACGAGACGCGAGCGGAGTTCGAACAAGCGGCGCGATGATTGGAGAATACGCAGCTTCAGGCGTAACAAAGCAAGATTAATGAGCGTCCGACACCCTTGGTTCTCTATTATGCGATCGTTCACAGGCGCCGATGACGCGCTCCGAGAGAGACGACGAAGGAACGCTCGAGGACTCCTAGTTCGGTGACTAGGAGAAGCGTCGCGCTTCCTGCGATTCGGGCTTGTTTCCTCGGAGCGCGCCGGCATCTGTTTGGCCCTTCTTTTCGTCTTTCTTTCCTTCTGGCAATTCGTCCTGACCAGATTGATCTTGACAAGTTTAACAATTATTAACGAAGTCCCTTACACTGAGATAAAAATACATTTATTTGTGAGATACAAAGTTCATTCCACCAAAGTGAACTTCATGTACCACAGATAAATGCAAGTATTCTCTTCCTCGGTAATTATTTATAATCCTTGTTATTGATAAGGCTAATTGCCGCGCTGCGTTACACGTAGCTCTTATCGGGATTCAAACCACTCAGAAAAAGTGGTCTTGCAGTCGCAGCACAAAATTATCTATACACGAGGAATTGGCCGAGATAATTGACTAGCAAACACTGCGATATCGCATGTGTGTTTTGTAGTTAATCAATATAGGGTGACAGAATTTATATCTGAACTATTTATAGAATTTAAGAAGAAAGTTCCTATCTGCGGCGTCCATTCAGATAAAGGTCAGATTAATAATTGGTGAGAGGACCTAAATTTGCCTGCAGACATTGCTAGAATGCTACTGCCGCAAATTCCACGTAACACAGTTTTCTAGCAGATACGAGAAACGGCAATAAATTTTAACTGCGACATTTAGAATTCTACCTCGACGAAACATTCACTCAAAAAAAAATGGTCTTGCAGTCTTAGCAATTTTCTATCTATCTATCACCACGGACAGTTTTCTAGCGAGGAACGGAGCGATGAATTTTCGCTGTGATATTTAGAAACCCTGCCCGGAGCGGCGAAACGCTTTTTCGAGCACGACAGCGTCATTTTGTACGGGATGTCGGATGGCTGATCGAGATCGAGCCGATCGGCAGCACATGGGCTAAATTTCTAGTCGGGGATTTGAAGTCGCTAATACGCCGTGAGGAGGAAAAAGGGCGCACAGTGCGCGCCGGAATGAACTCGCGGAATTATGGGCCGCGATTCTTCCCCGCCGCAGCCGAGGGACACCGCAACGTTAACAACGACAATTAGCGCGTTAACTCGCAAAACTCCAACGAAATAGCGCGGATGGAAGATTGTTGAATTAGCGATATATTCTCTTCTCTTTCTCCCTTTCTCTCTCTCTCTCTCTCTCTCTCTCTCTCTCTCTCTTGATGTATACGGCAAACATCGCGCACGGTCGTGGCGCGCGCACACCGTCGTATAACTCCTATACCGTTTGCATAACTCCGAATTATGGAAATTCGACTTACCTCGTTATAGCACGCTGCCCTGCAGCAATTTCGGTAAACCCAATTTTGATCGTCGTACGTAGCGTGCCGGCGAGGAGAGCGTAGTACCGCGCCATGCTAAAAGACACGTGAAGCGGGACTGGGGGTGGGAAGGAGGAGGGGAGCGCTTGATCTCACGGAAATTATTTCCGCCTAAGCTCTTGATGCCCGAGCGACGATCGAGCGATGGGAAATAAGATCGAGAATAAATAAAAACGCGTGCTCGATGGAGGAAGGGGCGGACATTATTCTTTCAAGAGTTCGCGCGGGACGAGAAGGAGGGACTCGATAATAAATCCGGCAATGTAATGGCTGCCGCCGTCGCCCGTGTGTGATTTCCGATGGAGATCTCCACGAGTTAGGGAGTCGAGCAAACCATATCATTTCCGTAATAGAGAGCAGAATTCTTAATCGGCGAGAGATCGGCGGAGCGCCGGCGCGCGATTCCTGCCTTTGTTCCTTAACAATTTTTCTTGGTCCTTTCCATTTTTTCTTCTTCTTTTTTTTTTTTTCCTTTTTGCACGGGAATGTTAATGATGTTTCTCGCTGCCCTCCGTTAGGATTACACTCGCCTTTAACCGGCGAGGACGAGCGCGAGGAGGAGCTCTCATTTCTTTGTTCCGCGGCGAAATGAAGGAAAATGGTCGGCTATGCAGGAACAAACAGATGTACACGCGGCCGTGCGCGAATGCGTGCGTACGTTCGCGCGCGCGCACACTGCGTGCTTGCCTTGCGTCTACGCAAGAGAGGTATACACCGAGGCTATGATTTACCGTGTATTAAGCCTACCGAGTAACGTTCGTGAGAACCTGCCATTACGTAGTCTTACGACCGCAATTTAGGACGCCGAGACTCTTTTTCGTTTCTCTCTCTTTTTTTTTCCTTTTTTCTTCCTCTTTAACGCACATAGCGCTCTCTCTCTTTCTCTCTGTCTCGCGAGAGAAAGAGAGCGCGAGGGCGCTTTGAAGATAGGAAATCATGTATTAGCCCTTTGCCGCCCTCCTCTTGTTCAGGGATAGTCTATCTGAGCGGCACTGAGAGAGAGAGAGAGAGGGGGGGGGAGGAGGAGGAATAGTATCGGTCGAACGAGTACTTTGCTTTGCGAATTACACGCTGTAATCGCTCTGGTTAGGCAGGAGAGGCATACATACCTACATACAGCGAGCGGAAAAGCATCTCCGATCGAGACATGGTCGATTTTCTGACGACGTCAAGTCTGACATGTGATAGATTACGAAGAGTTATATGCGCGCATCTTAAATCACCGTAGGCAATCGCGATCCTTGCGGAGTGGAGATCGAGTCGTTTGAAAGAAGTCGACGTTTATAAATAATCCTCGAGACATATGCGCGTGAGATATTAATTATGCGCATGGAATTAATAAATTCGAACGAAACAAAATCCGCGTCGGTCGTGAGGTGACACCGAGAGAGAAACACTACGAAATACAACCTGAAATGAAGAAAACCCTGGTACTCGTTTACTCTTCGCGAGAACCGGCGCTTCTTTTCCCGTAATGTTGTCGAATTCAGAGCTTTGAAGCGCATAAACAACTGTCGAGATTAGTCATCGGTCTCATATCACGAAATCTCGCTGCTTAGGTCGAAAAACAATCCAGATAGACTCTCATGATTATTATGGGACACAATGGGAAGCTTCATGATTATTTTAATTATCTCTGTGAAGCAAATATATCGTAGTGAATTAATTATGAAATGTTCTTTTTTTTACATCATGCAGTCGTGTATGTTTTTCGTTATATTGATGCAACAACAAAGTTGGCAACAGTGACAGGCTCTCACCTTACATTTTGCATGACATATTGTTCTGAGCAAATTTTGTCAACTGCTTTGCATTCCGACTTGGTCGTTCTTGTGCGATAAATATGAATGCCATATGAGTCAACCTTCGCAGATCGATTAATAAAGTTGCTGCTAAATTTACATACATCTGTCTATCGGGCTAATTAATCGTTGGAAGACGGAAAAGAAGAAGAATACGAGATCCAGAAAAACATCCATGATTATATCACGACGTGAGATAATCGATGATGGAAACTTTATTTCAATTACATTAACGAGACAAATGCGTCGAATTGATTATTAAATTTACATCGTACAATCATATAAATTCTGCGTTATATCGATGCGGCAAGAAATACACTCAAAGTTACTCTCAACTTTCCATATTGCGTGACATATTATTCCGAGCAAACTTTGATCATTTCTTTCGTTTGTTTTGTATTTTTATTTCTCTGTGTAGTGTACGTGCACGTAGCGTGTTCACGGCATCCCTCATAAGGGATGCAGCTCTTACAAATCGACCGGTGAAGTTGCTGGCAAATTCAGGCGCATCTGTCTATCCGGGGAGAGAAAAATGAGGAATTCGCATCGCGAACTCGAGTCCCTCCGAAATACCGGTTCGGATTTCCACGGGTCGATAGAAGCTTGGAAGAGGGTGTAAACTCGATGCTCTCGACGGCGCTCTCCTCCACCGCCGGTGGGAGGAGATGGTAGTAGTGGAAACATTAGGGCGCGCGGGCTGAAGCAGAAGGAGGACAGAAAGGAAATGATATAGAGTAGGCTGTAAATCGTCCGACGCTGACGCAGCGCCGGCCATATCTCAAAAGTTATCCAATTTGCGTTAAAATAGCGAAGGTGTATGGCTCTGTACGCGTATATTCACCTTCTTTCGCCGCCGCCGCCCGCCGTCGCCGCTCGAACCTCGTTCCCGATGCGTTTATCTCGGCCGAAGAACGATTTACGCCGCGATTTGCGCGCACACGCTCGACCCAACACCAGAGCTCGAGCTCTTAACGCGCGCTCCGGAACGAACGTTCCGAAGCAATTTCTGCGTTTCCTTCTGTCCCTTCTATAATGTTCGCCGAGGAGACGGCGTTGAATCACGATACAGTCCGGGAACATTGGTCGTGATTTGCGATCACCGCGCGCGATAAAAGTCACCGAATCTGGCCGCGGCTGGAAAAACGTAACGAGCCGACAACAACAACGATCTCACGCTTTCTCGCGCGCATCAGCGGACGCTCAAAAGCCGCGTTCTACAGTTTTCAGTTACTCTCGCCGGCAAATCCGTCGTCTCTTCCGGTCGCTTGCTGTTGTCGACCTCTCCCGCAAAAACGCGCTCGTTCATTCGGCCCGCAAAAAGTATCTCTTTGTTTCCCGTTTTTTAAGGTAATCTCCCTCTCTCTGTTGCCTATTCGTAGCTCGGCATACGGCAGCTCCCAGAGCTCGTACGCGACGATGAGCTCGCCACGCCAGCAGCAGCACAGCGGACAACAGCTGATGATGCTGCAGCAGCAGCAGCAGCAGCAGCAACAGCAGCAGCAACAGCAACAGCAGCAGCAGCAGCAGCAGCAACAACAGCAGCAGCAGCAGCAAGTTCAGATGCAACACATGCAGTACATGCATTCCCAACAGCAGCCGCAGCAGCAACAGCAGCAGATGCAGCAGCAGCAACAGATTCAATACAGAAGTCCCACCGGAGGCAGTCCCAGCGCTATGCAAGCCAACAGTATCCCAGAAGCGAACAACAACACCACGACGAGCGAGGACAGCGACGACAGCACTCCGCATTCCGGGATGGTGAGTCGAGTCACGCTGCGTTTAAGTCGCCAGTATTGGCGCGTTTATGCAAAGTATCGCCCGATCGTGCAGCTCGCACGGAGATTCTCCATTTAATTTAATACGACATCCTGCTGCGCAGTCCTTGCCGCCGTGATTTGGTTTATCGGCTGGATAAGCAGCGCGTCGTTACATAACGCAACATTGTCTTTCGCATCAATATTATCCTCTCGAGGAGGAGGATCGCGCGACCGTCGACAATGAAGCGCTTTCCAACTGCGATGCCCCGCGAGTCTTTTACAAGACGGTGTGCGCGGGTACACATGTATATATATTTGTATTCTCTCTTTTCCTTTCAGATCACGGTGATGAAACGACTGTCGCCGGAACCGGCCGACGCCGGGGCGAAGAACCAAAGGAAAGCGAAGCCACAGAAGAAGAAGAAGAAGAGGGACCCCAACGAGCCGCAGAAGTGAGTAACAACGTCGCAGTTGTTATAAAAGAAAAAAAAAAAGAGTAGAGGAAAGAGAGGTGAAGTCTGAGATCCGGTCTGTATCTGTTAAATCTCGCGGAAGCTCATCCCGGGCAAAGTTCTGCGCAGAGGATGACACCGTTTCACAACGTTTCTCTCCTCCTCCCTCTTTGCTCTTTTTCTCCCTTTTTCTGTCTATTTTGTTCTCGAAAATATGTCCCGCGCTGCTCGCCTGGCGAAATTTTATTGCTCACGTCGGGATACACACACACACACACACACACATATATATATATGAAATATATATATATATATATATATATATATATAATATATATATATATACACATACACGCCGTAAGAAAAAGGCAATTCCGCATGTTCTCCGCAACAATTGGAAACTACGCGAGCACGACGGAGCGTATTTCCGTTGAATTAGTATTATCTGTGTTTGCGCGCGACAAATACAGAAGTACGTAGCTGTATGTACAGAACGTACTATTCCGTTCGGTATATACTAAATCATATAGCATATATCAAGGGTATTACGTGTCAACAATTCCACGTCTGCACCAGTGGTGATCTCGCATCAACGGTGTAAGTTATTACCGCTGTAAATTAGCAATTAACGTTATTGTTGCGATGTAAATGTAGGACATGTTGGGACAAGGGAGTTGTTGCGGGGAGGGGGGGGGAGAGGAAGAACGAGAGCGTGGGGACCGCGGGGGCGCGAGCGAGAGCGGGCGAGGCTCGACGTGTAGTGCGATATAGAATAGAGAGGGGGAGGGGAGAGGCAGTGAGAGAGAGAGAGAGAGAAAGAACTAAGCTATATCTGCTCAACTATAGAAACACGAACCCTCGATATTCACGTTGGAGAGTGGTCGTTGAAACACTAGACACTAGCGCTCGCTAAAGAGGACAAGAAATAAATGTGACTGGCGGTTGGGTGCGATAACCCTGCGAAGAACCCGGCAAATTAGATCCGCGTCCTATTTCCGAGACGTGTCTAACGCGGATTTAGATGATTATTATTTGCAGCTAAATCTCATCTAAATCTCATACGTTCGTTCGATCGATGTTCGCAGACCGGTGTCGGCGTACGCCCTTTTCTTTCGAGATACTCAGGCAGCGATCAAAGGACAAAATCCAACCGCTACCTTCGGCGAGGTATCCAAGATCGTCGCGTCGATGTGGGACGCGTTAGAAACTGAGCATAAAAATGTAAGTACTGGCATAAGAGACTTGATTGAAATTTCTATTGAATTATATATATGTACTGGTGTAAGAGACAATCAGTTGGGTAGGCCGAGAAATTAGTGCGCAAATACTGTCGTAGGTTTACAAGAAGAAGACCGAGGCAGCCAAAAAGGAATACCTGAAGGCGCTTGCGGCATACAGGGCATCCTTGGTTAGCAAGGGCGCGGGTGAGAACGAGCAACAACAGCAACCACAGCAACAGCAGCAACAGCAGATGCAATACAGCGGATACTCGGGCTACGCCAGTAATGCCGCTCCTGGGAATGTAACATATCAGGTTTACAGTCCGCAGCATCAACCTCCATCGCCTCAGCAACAGCAGCAGCAACAGCAGCAGCAGCAGCAGATGGCTATCAACAAAAAATCGCCGCATCACTTGGCGATGCAAGGAAATCCTCAACAACAGGTGCGAAAGTTTTACAGTACAGTTATTACAGTACAGGATCACTGAAGGAGAGAAAACTACCTGTCACGCATTTATGTGCATTGAGAGAGTAGAATATATAGATAATCGTTTGCATATAGATTTATCTATATTTGCCGTTTTATGCTCTTTTTATCTATAAAAACTTGCTCGTTTACTCACATGATTATAAATAATTTATCGTGTAATATCAAACGCGTGGGTAGAGAAAAAGGCATGAAACGACCTTGATGAAAAAATGCGTAATTTTATTCTTCTTTTTGCAGGGTTTAATGGGCAATGTGATGGCGCCACCGCACATGACGCAACAACAACAGCAGCATATGCAACAACAGGTCTCTCAACAGCAATATATGCAGGTTAGTCGATACGTTTCATTCCTCTGACTCGCCGTTCAACATATATTGCTCGATGATATGTACTATTTATGAATTTTTATAGCTTTGTTACAATTTATGTTACGTATAGGTGCCGCAGCAGCAACAGGTACAACAAGTACAGGTGCAACAACAACAGCAACAACAAATGATACATATGAGTCCACCCAGGGGGGAATTTATCAAGTCTGATGAGACCTTGTCGAATTCATCGCCTGTGAATCCTTCACAAGTGACTATGACGGGACAAGGACCACCACCACCTTGTATACATCACGGCTGTCCCAATCCTGCTATATCCAATAACGAGTGGGAGGACGAATACTGCAGTAACGAATGCGTGGTTAGCCATTGCAGGTTTGCGTGAGCATTAAATTCAATATTTCTCTTCGAATTAAGCTTAATCGTTTTATCATCCGCAAAGAATCGTGCAAAACGAACAGTCGAGTTTTTTTAGTTTGCCTTTTCAAAGTCTGTGTAAAGTTTACCCGTATGTAAACTTCTCTCCTTCACTGGATCCTATATCTATGTCTCGTCGTCTGTTTCAGAGATGTATTCAACACGTGGGTATCTTCAAATCAAAATCCTCAGCAAAATTACTCCACGGTGAAATAAGTGTTCTGCAAAGGATGGACTGTGCTAACCAACTACTCACATGGCCTCACAGCTTAATGGCCCGCTGTTAACCTGTAAAGTAAGATATTTAAACGGATGTGTATATAGGCTGGTGAATGGCAACTTTTTAAAGGATCAAGACTGTTTGTGCAACATACAACACTAGAAACGTTGATGGGCAGTCTACAAATGTGTATGCGAATAATGAATGATATATACAGGTGTGTTTTATGTGAACGCGATCGATATGCATGTTTGTGTTGTATGTGTGAAAAGAAAGAGAGAGAGAGAGAGAGAGAGAGAGAGAGAGAGAGAGAGAGAGACGTGAAAAGTAAAGATAAAATCGTTTCTTCTTAGAAAGAGAACTTAGGATGTATATTGAAAAGCCTTATCCAAAAAATTCATTACTCTGGCCAAAGGTCTTCGTTTGTAAGGAGTGTATTGCATCTTGAGCAATGTAAGAAGTGCGTATACACTTATTAGAAATGAATCGACAACCACCTGTTTTGTACTCTCAGATAATTCCTTACTGACAGGCAAGGCGTGCCAATTGTACAGACGTAATCGTACATTTGTTTGTTTGTTTTTTTTTTTCTAATGTCTTAGCATTAAAGGTTCTTCTTTTTCATACGTTCATTAACAAACGTCGCAAAGACTTGCTCCTTGAATTGAATTGTCTCGAAAGCTGTGTTTCTTAAGACACTTTTGCACTCGTCATTACGACGTCGACAAATGACACAGTACAAGTAATAAAAAAAAAAGAAAAAACGGAAGCAACGTATGAAACGTGTGTAAATAAGTCTGCGCTACGTTCCAACGTGCGTTTCGTTCGCGACATGTGAGGGCAATGAACGAAAATGGGAGGAGGAGAAGGAGGATGATGATAATGATAATGATGATGACGATGATGATAATAATGATGATGATGATGATGATGATGATGATGATGATGATGATGGAGAAGAGGAAGAGGTGGATTTGTAATAGCGTGCTGTATGACGTGACAGTGCCATGGTCACTAATTGTCATGTTTCACTTTAATACACATGGGGTTCTTATATAAGAGAGTTTTAGGAGATATATTCGTATATATATTATATATACACCCACACTCACCCACACACACACACACACACACACACACACACGTATTTCCGATTAGGTGTTTCTCATTGTTTCATTAATGCGGACGTGCGTCTCGTTTGAATGGAATTGCCGTTATGTGTAAACGACCGTTTTCATTTCGTAATATATATACACATACATATATATATATATATATAATATATATATATATATATATATATATATATATATATATATATATATATATATATGTATGGTTTCAACTCACCGCGTGATATGTACGTACCGTGCGATACGATACGTACTGCGCTCTCGATATTTTTTTTCTCTCTGAAACAAAAAAATACGCAGATTTCGAACGCACGGCGTCCCGCCGCCACCTAGTACGCCCTCCTTCTATGGTGGATTCCCCATGATGCATTGCGTCCAAGCACCCGGGGGTTGCCAAAAAATTGGTGTCGATCCCGGGGCTTATTGATATTATTTGCACCGGATGAAGAGGGGCAACGTTGGAGACGGCGGGCATACATGGACAGCAGGTCTTAAAGGATAGCAACCTTTGACTTTGAATGACTGACAGCTGTACTATTTGGTACAGTAAGTCACCGTGTGCTCGGGTTCGCGCCAGAGATGGAGGAGGAGGGCGTACGTCGAGATCTGCGTATCTTTTCGTTCCAAAGAGAGAAAAATATCGAGAGCGCGGTTTTGCTAGGCCGGGACTCGAATCTGGGTCTTTCGCTTGCCGGGCGAGACTGCTCTAAACCATTGAGCTACTTGACACTCCACGCTCACGACACTCTTCTCTCCCTAGATAACGCTCAGAGATGCCGTTTGGAAGCGACATCTCTGGCGCGATCCCGAGCACACGGCGACTACAGAGAGAAACAATGTTACTATACCAAATGGTAGCTGTCAGTCATTCAAAGTCAAATGTTGCTATCCTTTAAGACCTGCTGTCCATGCTGCTATATGCCCGTCTCCACCGTTGTCCCTCCTCATCCGGTGCAAATAATACAAATAAGTCCCGGGATCGACACCAATTTTTTGGCAGCTCCCGGGTGCTTGGACGCAATGCGCCATGGGGGATTCACCATAGAAGGAGGAGGACGTACTAGGTGGCGGTGGGTCGCCGTGCGTTCGAGATCTGCGTATCTTTTCGTTTCAGGGAGAGAAAAATATCGAGAGCGCGGTACGTTACGTACGTAACCTCGGACAAAAAGAAGAGCCGCGGTTTTCGAACGTTCGATGTTGTGTCTCGCATCTCGTGTATCACGTCATGTGTATATCGTCCACCACGCGACGGCGGGAGAATCTCTTGATTTTTCTCACATAGTACACCCCCCGGTCTCCGTGTTCGGCTGTCCGCAAAGGAAGTGTTGTGGCATTCCGTCTCTGTACGTGCGATGTGGAATACAATTGACTGACGGGCACGCGCGAAGCATCCGTATTCGTGTAGCACCGTTCTCGCTTAGATAAAAATAGTACGTATGTATGTATAATACTAATTAGCCTCCGATCCCGTCGAGGTCTTAAAGGACGACGCATAACTATTACGCATCTAGAATAGAATCAATACGAGTAAAACTGGAACGTTACTGTGCGATTTATTTTTATATCGATACTACAGAGCCAATCAATAGGTGACAGTACAGTTTTTCATATGTAAAATTACGGTCAGTGAAAAGAAGAGCGGTAAAATCAGAACGGTCGAGACAACACTAGACAACGCGGATCCGATATTTTTCTAAACGCGCGTACCAATCAATCAACCAACGTCGTGTACAGTCACCGTACGTACCGACGAAAAGGTTGTCCGACTTTTTTTTGTAAGTTTAGAAACCCATTCGTCTTGTGCAGTGGGAATGTTCTCCCATTGGAAAATAAATTCTCCTTTGTGCAAGACCAATAGGTTTCTAAAGATATAAAAAGAAAAAAAAGTCGAACGATCTTTCGGTCGCCGAGTGGTACAACCGTGGTGAACACGCGAAAAATACCACTTTCTCCGTATTAATTTCGAATTGCGTGTCTTCTCTGTCAGCGCCTTCCAAACGTGTATACCGCCTATACGGATATGACTAATTACTGATGTAACGGTTTAAACGCAAACAGCCCTGTCCTATTGAAACAGGCCACGCGAAAGTTATCGAGCTCGTCGTCGAGAATGGTTTGATAATTTTTAGATATAGAAAAGAAGAAAGAAGGAAAATCGTGCCGCCATAAAATATATGTATATATGTATGTGTACATTGTATATATACATATATATAATATATATTATATATACATATAAATAAATATATAAATATATAAATATATATATATATATATATATATATATATATATATATATATAATATATATATATGTATATCCGTTCGTGAAGTCCCGAATATCAAGTCGACGTACACGGGGAATCGGTGTCTCGCGGCGATAAAGAGAAAATAAATATACGCATATGTATACAAAAGAGAACAACTCGTAGCACCGATATTATTTGAGAGAGAGAGAGAGAGAGAGAGAGAGAGAAAGAGAGAGAGAGAGAACGCCACGCCGTCGTTCTCTCGCCATTGTGCAGAAGTCGGTAGTCGGGGAACGGTTGGACAGATATCTCGCGCGCTTTTGCGACCTCCGATTGAAATGCACTTGTAACGTAGGCCTTGAAATGAATCGGTACAACGTGACGAATCCTTATATACGAAAGGGCAAAGAAAATGTATCCTTCCACGTATTCGATTCAGCGATGAATAAGTCTCGCGACGTGTCCGACGCGGACACGCGCGAGACTGTGCCTGTGTGTTTAGTAGGCCAGCATCTCCCGAACGGAGTGATATCGTTTTCTTTCTTCTTCTCTTTTTTTTGTTTCTTCCTTTTCTCTTTATACGGATTATCATGAATGTTTTTAATAACCTTATGTAAATATACGAGATATATTCTCCGTAGGTTTATAAGTTATAATGTAAACATAATCGATATATTGTATTATATTAATAATAATACAATTTGTGGTATATATTATACGAAGGTATATAAATATAAATATATATATATATATATACAAAAATATATATATGTATGTATACATATATAGGGTTATATAAAAAGATAATTATACTTGATTACTTCGATGAGATAGGATATTAATTTACCGAGACAGCCCTCTTATAAGTAACGGGACTATACGAGTTTAGTACACAGAGTTGAGAGAAAGGAGCACGGGGAGAAATCCCTGGATCGTGTACCGCGCGTGGTGCAGAGTACAGAAATTTACTTAAAAACGTAAGTCCGTCGGCATGGACGTCTCGATCAACGAGAGACCGTCGTACGTGAGTCGCGACTCCGCAGAATTTATTTTATAAGTTTGTCCGATTGATCGAGGCGTCCACACATACACGACACAACACACACATACACACGCACGCACGACGCCCGCGCGTGCCCACACTCTTCGTTACTTTGTGCTCTTATGTAAATTTCTGTGCAAAGAGCTCAATCCTCGACACGAAAAACAAAAAACTGCAACTTTTGCAACGTTGATTGTAATCATATTTAAAGAAAAGAAAAAAAGAAAATAAAAAAGCGTCTGTATTAAAAGAAATAAATTTAGAAGGTATCGAGCATTGTACTGTAGCGTTAGCACTATACATCAAATGCTAATATATCATAGTAATTTCCAGAGTGAATTTATGTTAAATTTTTATTGTTTTATGTACAGAAACACAATTAAACGATTTTAGTCCCGACGACAGATGTTCATTATCCATCTCCTTCCATGATGTTCCTTCCATTCTCGTCGAAATACCGATTATTTCGTATCGGTTCGTCAGTTGAAATGCAAACATTATACAATTTATTAAAGCAATATGATGTTTGAGCTTCATTGTCTTGGAACTAGTTTCTCTTTCGATTTTTTATTTTTCAATATACGATACAAAACATGAAGTCAGATAGACTTTAATTATACAAATAAACCGGTTTTTATTATAAAAAATAGCGTGAGAACATTTACGGTGCAGACATAGCCTTCTGTCCTTTTCTTGTGGTCGTTTCATTTGTAAGTCTATGGTTCTAATTTGAGAAAAATTTCATGTAGGACAGTAGCGACTCGTAGCGGAAACTTTAGAATTAATGTCTTGATCTTTAGCCAAGACTCGAACCAGAGAGAAGCATGAGAGCAGCCACCAGCCTGATTTCAATGGCCAGAGCTAGGCGCTAAAGTCACTTGGGTTGCATTCCAAAACGTCGTTTCTGAGGAAAATCTTACTCTTAAATCTATAGTGTATATAACGTGAACTATAGATTTAAGAGTAAAATTTTCCTCGAAAAAAATGTTTTGGAATGCAACCTTGATATATAAAAGTTGCTTTCCAATAAGAGACACAAGTCGACACAAGTATTATCCTATCTTTGTTACTTACTAAGGTTGCGTTCCAAAACGTTCTTTTTTAGGAAATTTTACTCTATAATATATGTAACTATAGTTATTGAGTACAATTTTCCTCAAAAAGAACGTTTTGGAATGCAACCTAAATGTGGAACAAAGATAGAATGATGTTTGTGTCGACTTGTGTCTCTTGTTGAAAAGCAACTAAAGTACCGCAATCATCCGCCATGTTTATTCCAGCCACACGCGGTTGATTCAAAACGTCTAAATTTGTATGAATATATTGCGTAAAGTAAAAGGAAACAATAAATAACGTTTATCACTTTTTTTATTTGTATAACATTTAATATTTAATATTTTGTAACACATAATTTCACTGCGACTATTATTTGAATTTGCCTCGTTAATATAGTTTTTTTTAACGAAAAATTAATTTGTGCTATGACAAAAAGTTTTATCAGTCTGCGCATTATATTATGACATGACGGAATAATGTTGGATTGTCTAAAAATATGTCAATAAATTCGGTAACCGTCAACGCATTTGATAGTAGGTTTCCTTTATTTTATCGAAATGATAATTCGCACTTATACATTATATTCAAGCGGGTGGCCGTTCTCAGACTTCTCTCTGCTCGAATCCTTTCTAAGCACAACCAATTTCTGCTCGACACCGTTAGATGGCGTCTGGCGACCCAAAAAATTCTGGAACTTGTAGTATGACCGCTCTCGGTGTACCGGTGTGTTCGTCAGCTCTTTTAAAATTTTCGCGGCCGCTAAAACAAGATTTGTTCTTCTCTCTGTTGTATATATGATACGTTGACGTTGCATTAAAAAATCTCAATATTTTCTCAATATGACCAACTCCACTTTTATCATCGATAACGGCGCTTACACGGCGAAAGTCGGTTTGTCCGTAGAAACACCAAAGTGAGTAGAATGTAAACACAACCGAATGACATATTTATGCACGCGACAGTGTTACATGTAATTCATATATGTAAATATTTCAGATTAGTGCCGAATTGTATAATGAAGGCGAAGAGCGAGCGTCGCAGACCCTTCGTGGGAAATCAAATCGAGGAGTGCAGGGACGCCTCCGGGCTGTTTTACATTTTGCCCTTTCAGAAAGGTTATCTAGTGAACTGGGATGTCCAGAAAACTGTATGGGACTATATATTCTCGAAAGAGTCCTGTTCAGTGAACTTGAGCCAGATGTCTGTGATAGTCACAGAGCCAGTGTTCAACTTTACCAATATCCAAGAAGCCATGACCGAGATCTTCTTCGAAGAGTACGAGTGTCACAATCTCCTGAGGATAAACACAGCAAGTCTTTCCTGTTACAATTACAGAGCAGAGAATCCTGCCACAAAGTGCTGCCTGGTGGTCGACAGTGGTTACAGTTTCACACACATAATACCTTATATTAATGACACAAAAATAAAGGAAGGAATTAGACGAATAGATGTGGGTGGTAAGCTTCTGACCAATCACCTGAAGGAGATAATATCCTACCGTCAATTGCACGTTATGGACGAGACATATGTGATCAACCAGGTGAAGGAAGATTCTTGCTTTGTATCTCAAGATTTCTTCAAGGACATGGAGCGTGCGAGGTACAAGTTGGAGAGCAACACCATCACCAAGGACTATGTGTTGCCGGACTACACGACTCTACGACGTGGCTACCTCAAGGACCCAGAGCCACCCAACGAGCAGCAGGCATTGCGTTTGGCTAACGAGAGGTTCGCGATACCGGAAATACTATTCCATCCGTCGGATATCGGCATCCGGCAAATGGGAATTCCCGAGGCGATCATGGACTCCGTGAAGGCTTGCGGCGAAGAGACGTGGCCGCACTTACTGTCGAACATTGTTCTCACTGGTGGTAACGCCAAGTTCCCGGGATTCAGGGATAGAGTCTACAAAGAAGTCCGAAGTCTGGCCCCGTCGGAATACACGATAAACGTCCATTTACCGCAAAAGTATCTCACACGTTTCATTATCATACGTTTGCCACGTTGGAAAGGAACTTCCTGATGGATTTCTTTCTGCTTTCAGTCCGATTACTTATGCATGGTACGGCGGAAAGAAACTCTCGCAAGATACAACGTTCTCCAGTCTGTGGGTGACGAGGGACGAATACGAAGAAGAAGGATCGTCTGTATGCTTCGAAAAATTTGACATTTAGTTCTAGCTTTTTTACATAACATCGCTATCATTCTTACATACTGTTGGTCAGTGGAAACACTGTAGAGGAGAATTAAAAATCTTGGCAGAAAACAGAAAAAACAGGAACCAATCAGAATTCGCGACGGTGGTAATATTTTCTTTTCTGCCAAGATGTGAATTCTCCTTAACAGAGTGTTGCGTTTATAATAAATCAAGTATAATTTATGCTTGATACAGTTGGATGTAGATTTCGAATATATCAAGCACGGAATGTGTGCAGACGGGCTCGACATTAAATTATCTTCAAATGCATTTCATCTCTGCCATCAGTTCTTCTAAACTCGAGGCTTCGGGAACAGTTTGCTCGCTCTCCGCGTCGAACGCCTGCGTAGGCACGGCGTATGCGTGCCGTACACCCGAAGCTGTCCATACGTATGATTGTGCGTCCGACTGCCCGTCTTGTACCAATGAGATTCCTGTTAAGCGAAATAACATTACATTGAGTTGCTGATAAGCTGAGATTATTCCAAATCTTTATATCCTAAAATTTCTTTCATCAATAAAAATACCACCAGTTTTTACCAATATTGATTAAACCTTAATTTTAACTCTTGAATTTGAGTCTGTTTGGATAGAGTTTAAACTCAGGTTGTAAGACTTAATCGATCTTGGTAGAAACAGGCATAAAAGTACTTATGTCAATCAGAAGGCTCACACACTTAGAGACATTTCTTTCGACAGAAGAAAGTTTGGAGAGTCTATAACCATACGTACCCCACTCGTTGTCTTCATGCACCGGTTTCTCTTCTTTAATTTCTACTTTCTGCTGAATTTTCGGCTTTGCCAAATATTCCTGCTGCAATTGTTTGCAACGCCTATTGTCGCAATTCGGATTCGGCTTGAGCGTCATTCTAGGGAAGAAGTCCTCCATAGCATTGTAACCCAAGTAGTAAGACACTTGTCCGAACTTTAGCAGATACTTCAGAGCGTTCTGCACCAAGAAACCTGCTACTATACCCATTGTGGTGGGTAACGACGCGGCGCATACGCCTTCACGCTTCAGAGTCTTCTCGTCGATGCTGGACGCGACGATCAGAGGTGGAGCACACTGAAGATTCGAACGCAACAACAAGATGATCACAAAAATTACACAGAATTCTCTGATATAATCCATATCTATAAGTATTAAATATTCCTACGAAATCCGCATATTATTAATCTTACCGCGAAACAAGCCGTTTCGCCGGGCACGATGAACTGAATGTGACCAGACACGGCATTTTCAGAAACGCCACTCTCGAACCACGTCTGATTGAGTTCGTTGCACGCGGTATTGATTGCCATACGAGCTTCAAAATTGTCAACGCAACTCAACACCAAATCAACCGGGTCTCCCTTCAAATTGCCTGTACTGCGGAAGTATATTCAAATTTAAAGTAACTACAGAAAAGGGCTGCTTTGAAAATACAAAAAATACTTTCACTGGGATGAAGTAGATTAATACCTAATGGAAAACTACGCAATAAGGTGATAGCAATATATACTTTATCGTGTCCATGAAGTCTTGAAAGTGATCGACAGTCGTGATATTGTAGTTGCGTGTTTCAATCTCCACGTCGGGATTGATGTATCGCAAGGTGTTTGCTGCAGCTTCCACTTTGCTCTGGCCTGCTTGATGCGGTTGAAAGAACAGCCTGTTCATATTGGCGAGTTCTACATTGTCGTAATCAAACAATATCAGCTGCAACATCGGTATTATTGCTCGCTAGATAATTTAGTATCATTCAGGCAGGACAAGAAGAGAGTTTATCATCTCTGTTTAAAATGATGGATGCAAGATATACGATTTCACCTGAATTCCGATCTGAATCAATGACCGTGTTCAGCACGAATTTTACAACAGTTGTAAATAAATCAAAACAGTAAATCAATAAGATGGTAATTGATTTGTATTGAAATTCAGATTGAGCGCAATGTAATCTTGTACTCATCATTTTAAGCAAATCCTTTTGCTGACCTTGCCGATGCCACATCGCGTCAACATCTCCGCTGTCACGCTACCGACGCCACCGATCCCGACTATAGCTACCGACAATTCCCTGATCTTCTCGTAATTGTCTACGATACCCATACGCTTCAGTGCCATCAATCGACTGAAACAACACAGAGTCACCGTTGGAAACTGAACGGAACAGTAAGATGCATGTTAAGCATTGCATATTTAATTGTAGCAAATATTTATGTATACAATTAATATACAATATATACAGTTTACTACTTTTTTCTACAATATGTGATCAGGTAGGAAAAAGTTCTGAATGCAATTAATCAGTTTTTAAATGTCAATAAGGTGCAATAATAAATTTTTATATCTTTATTGTTACATTTGAGTACTGTTCAAAAACTGATTAATTGCATCCAGAAGTCTCTTCGGTCGTTGCAACTGATAAAAATACGGTAGCCACCGTTACAGTGAAATATATAGTTTTACATATTACTTACATTAGATACACAGACAGTGATAATGAGTTGATTTGGAATTTACCTGTACGGATTCGAATCCACCACCTCCGCTGACATATGTTCGATTTTTGACCTTGTGGTCGCTGCTTCCTTACTTTTTCTGTCTTCCAGCTCGCGTTCGAGCTCCGCGATTCTCTTTCGCAAGCTCTCCATGTCATTCATCTTTCGATGTGAGTGACAAATTATTTGAAAAACTACTTAGAAAACCGAGACACTCTAATTACTTTTGGCCCTTGCAGCTGCTCCCAGTCTCAGCTGATTGACACACTACGAGACAGACTCCTTTTAAATGCCTTTGCTCGCGAGTTGCCGTTTTTCTGTCTCTTTTCTGTCCACTTCACGTACATATATCTGTCTCTCTTAAAGTACTGAAAGTGCAATTTATAGTGCAGCTAAAAAGGACACACTTTAGATTTGTTCTTTTTAACTGAGCTGGTGCAGACTATTGCAATAAGTTAGAGTGAAACAAAATATATTTATCTCGCTCCAATTTATTGTATCAATGTGCACCAGTTTAGACAGTTCAGACAAGAACTGGGGCAATTTATGCGATATTTTTCAAGAATAAGGACCCTGATCTTTTATCACGGGCATTGACCGTTTTCCAGCGAGGAACACTGTGTTGCACAAAGCTATTTTATTGGCTACTTGTTATCTCAGATAATGTGTAACGGTATTTTTTGCTGGAAAACGGTCATTGACATTTGCGACAGATAGGTAGGCAGTCTTATCAGTAAACCGCGTCCATGAGGTTCCATCTATCGTCACTCACGCTTACCGGAATGAGCTACAAGAATTTATTGTCGGTATACATGATGCCTTTTCTTTTTTTTATATTCTCTTCGTGAAGAGCAGATGATAAAAACGATAATAGTCGCCAGGAGAAATGAAATTAGTCCAAATACTTTACGATTGATTTTGAATTGTCTACAGTTGCTTAACATTTCCTATAGCAGAGATATGATCAAAGAAGATGCGTGTGCCAAAATGAAAATTAGAGAAAGTAGAACGTGATAATGAATAAAAGTAAGGTGACCAGATTTCCCAGCCTTGAATTCGGGACACTTCATAAATGTGTAAAGCGGGGGTAGGAGGGGAAAAAGATCCGAAAATTATTTGACAATCATTGAAAATGATGAAAAATCGGTGTCCCGAATAGCACTCGAAAAAATTCGAGACAAAGGGCGAAAAATCGGGACGTCTAGTCACCTTAATAAAAGAGATGTTTATGTGGGGTTTCGTAGACGCCTGGTTCTCGTTATAATTCGTCCACAAAAATCGCGAATGCGAAATCATATGATTTACGTAACACCTTCTTTAAGAATCTAATTGAGAGTTCATTATCTAATTTAACAATCATACGTCGGCTTTGTTTCTTGACAAATTGCAAAGTATCAATATATATATAAAGTAATGCGTGTTTGTCGCGCGAAAATAATCGGAATATCTCGTGTACACATCATCTTATGCGCGAAATACTCTCGATATTATCGCATTGGTACATCTCCGATGTGAAAAAAGAAAATGCGCCGATCTGTACTTGAGATAAATGTGTCTGGAAAAAAACCCATATAGCACAAATCTTTAAAAGACTTCTGAAAAAGTTTCAAAAGAGTTCCCAAGTCCTCCAGAACACTTAGAATTCTGTAAATTCCTTTTAGAATTCTTTAGAATTCTTTAGAATTCCTTTTAGAATTCTTTAAAACCCTGGTAAAAAAAAATTTATAGAAAACGATAGAATAAAAATAACCATTTTCTATCGTTTTGAACATGGATTTTGGTTCGTGAATTTACAAAATGTGAATAGTATTCTATCGTATATGATAGAAATAGATATATCGATACTTTTTGTAAATTTACGATAGATATATCGTTACTTTTTGTAAATTCATGAACCAAAATTCATATTCAAAATGATAGAAAACGGTTATTTTATTTTTATTCTATCGTTCTTTATAAATTCTTTTACCAGGGAAGTCTTTTAGAGATTTGTGTTAATTGGGAATAACGCATAATCGTTATCAGAAGACAAAGGTCAATTGGTTCGTTAAGAACGAGGCTGTATTTGTTTCTAATTTATAATTTCTTACGTCGCAACCGTCACTTCGGTTCTCTCTCTCTTTCTCTCTCTCTCTCTCATTATTTCTGCCTTTCCGTGGCATACCCGGTATATCGCATGATATACCGTATCGTTACATCGTGCTCACGGACAAGGTCCGCGTTGTCGCCGGAGAAAGAAACAGACTGCATTCTTTCAATGTTACTTTATAAGTCGCACTCTATGAATATTCGACACAGATATCGCAAAAATATCAGATACGCTACACGTCGCGCTTCTCGCGAGAGTTACGGGTTTGAAAATCAATGCAATCCTGCGCACTTTGGCAAATTTTATTGTCGTACCTTAACCATGTCAAAATACTTTGTGTCGTAGCACACTTCGGATTAGCATATACCTATGGCGGCAATTTTCTTTTTCGTTTCTTTTCTCTTCAATAACGACCGATAATATGTCGTGTGAAGGGAAAGCAATGATGAGCATGACAGTAATGTGAGAGAAAAGGTAAAATTGAGAGAGGAAAAAAGAAACAGGATCTTTCTTCGACAAATCGCGCGTGAAATGAATGCACTTTTGTCGTAAATAAATTATCGTTTTTTTTTGCGAGCAAACGAGCAAGTGTGCAGTAAAAAAAGAAAGGAAAAGTCGAATTCGCTCGAAACACCAGCCTCAAGAAATTTAGAGTCGGGGGAGGGCGAGGTGTTTCAAATGAATTCTCATACGTCACATTTTGATATTTCTCTCTCTTTCTCTCTCTCTCTCTCTCTCTCTCTCTTAACGGCTCGTTACTACGCGAAAAAAAAGAGTATCATAGCCCAAGAAGTCACATCTCAGCAGTGTTATTATTTCTATTAGTGACAATTCGTTATCTTCGTTTCTCCAAGCTAATTTTTGCTTATTTAAATAGTACTTATTCTTCCCCTCTCTCCTCACCATTCCGCATATTCCTTCTTCTCTATAAAACTAAACTAGATTATCGTAAACGTAACATTATGAACAGGAAAGGATATAAAACTTGGTTAAACAAGTACGTGTGTATCGGTGTGTGATTTGTGTGGTTTCGTGTGTAGGGTGTTTGCGCCGTTCTTGCCGCGATAAAAGCGATTTTCTTTCCCTTTTCCAGTCCGACATTCCCCGCCCCACGCGTGCGAACAGCAAGTGAATATAACTTCGACGACACGGCGCGTGACAGCCAAGTGGAATAAATAAAAAAAAAAAGAACATTATTTATATATAACGTTAAATCGCGCGAGTAGTGTGATCTCAGCTCTTTTTACACGTGTATAATATCCTATATGTATAGTAACATTCTTACTCGTATTAGCCTATGAACTTTTTTTCTATTTTTATTTATGTGTCACGTGTAAGTAATGTATGTATGTATGTATGTATGTGTACATCCTTGAAAAATAAAAATATATATAATATATAACGCGAATGTGTGTATGTGTGTGTATGTATCTATGCCTATGTGTATGCGCATGCATATCATGTAACATATCGTCCGTGTATGTGTATGCATACGTATACTTATTAAATGACGCGAGAATAAGGCAAAAACGACGCAGCGGTCAGACTGAGAGAAGCGAACGTTACTATTTCACCGATAATGCAGAGCGTTCTCACGCGCTCTCGCCCCAATTTCTTCTCACTCCGCTTGATTTGATCAATTTACGCATTGTCGACGCGCGAGAGCACAAACGGCGATCGATTCATACGTCCCGTCCGGATAATAATGCATCATTCGTGTTTTCATCATATTATTAGGAACTGACAAATCCTTGGAAAATTATATAAAAAAGATAGTGTACAAGAGGAGCGTGTGTTGTATTCCTATACATTCTTTACAATGTGTGTTATGTCCTCGTCTCGATATACAAATGCTCACACGAATGTACACGATGAGTCATCTCTTACACATATTATTTATATATAGATCATAATTCACGTGTAACTCACTTTGTAACAAAGATACTGTCGTTATGCGATTTTACGTGAATCATGGAAAGCAAACGTCGTCCAGTAGTCGGCGTAAGATTGACCAGCGCACAGAGCCCGAGTTTTACAAATATACACGTTCTAATATTTTAAACCATATATGTATGTGTATGTGTGTGTATGTATGTATGTTTGTGTCGATAATGTTTGTGGATTTTGTGCCAAGGTGCTTGTGAATTTTGCTTGCATTTAATCGAACAGTATTAACTGCCATTTGCTTGGATATACGGATCAGATCCGTCTCCCTTTCTCTTTAAGCATCTTTTATCGAGGAGAACGATCGTATCGCGAGGGAACACAATATGCAATATACGAGCAAATACTGACAAGCCTGTTAAATTTTATGTATCTTACATGTCGCGCGTCTTCGAACTTGACAATTCTTCGATTCTCCTCGGCTAACAATGGCTGATTAGCGTCGGTAGCCACTTTGTGTTACTGGACGCACAGAAGCAGGTTTATTCACAGAGCACAAAGAGTACTTGGCTATAACAAACATTTTATTCAACTATTGTGGTATCAGATATAAACGAACATTTTATCATCGTTAAAAGTACTAAACTGAATGGCCTAAGGTATGTGTATAAGTGTAATTGTGTGTATATTGTGTGACGTGTGTGTATCTGTATATTCGCGAGTGTAAGTGTGAATGCGAACGGGTGACTTTTGTTTAAAATCTCCACCGCTTGCCTGTTATCGCGTAACCACGAGTAATCATCTTTCAAATGATAATGGATCTAGCTGCATTTTTATGCACTTATAGATCTGCCAAGAACACGATGATAATAATAGCAACATCAGAAAAAATAGTAGATATAGTAGGGCGCATCGCGAGTCGTGAAACGGAAGTAAGCAACGCGCTGCCTTTGATATCGCATGCACACCGGCCAATATGGACGGAGCATGTGTCTTCACGCGACTGATTTTACGCCGAGGTCCTAATCTCCCGTGATTCTCTAAGTACGTCGCGAATTGCGAGTGGTTATACGCTTTTGTAGGAGACACAGCAAAGTGAAATATTTCAGTCTTAGTGACGGGATCGATGAAGCCGCTGTTACAAACCAGAATGATTTTGGTGCAGAGAAGAATGTACTTGGCGATACGATATATCTGCTGTTGCATTGTTATATTCTGTAGTAGACTGGGAGTCGGTTTTCCGTTCAGAATTGCTGAACTTATAAGAGTTGAGGCAGTTCTTCCGAAGGGGTCAAACACCCGCTTCCAACTCCTTCCATGCTTTCCAATCCGTTTGTCCCATGGACCGGTACGCTGCTCATTGTTACGCCACGATGATCTGTAATGAGCTCCTAGTTAAAAAAAAATCACACGCGGGATTGCTTTGCTATGTGAATTATGTCGCGCGATTTACGCAGTCGAGAGCGGATTTGGACGGTCGATGCGAATGAGGGAGCGAAATGACAAACGGATTGCTCGACTTCGGAAATACCATACGACAGAATCCGAATCAGCGAATCCAGTTACGTAAGATCGCTGACGCATTTTTCCCGTTAGATCGACTGAGCGCGGTCTTGATATTTGCAAACGATCCGAATCGATCGGGAGGAATTTTAGGCACGGCGGCGTGGGGAACGGGATGCCGAAAGCTTGTGAAGAGAATGTGCCAAGTATGTGTATTCTGTATGTGTATTATGTATCATGTAATTATTGCTATCAAACGTCGCATCTATACTCGTTACGTTCTAACGTAGATAACGTAATTGTTTTGATCATATAAAGTAATATAACACATGAGCAGTACGTGTGTGTATATAATATATATATATGTATATATAATCAATGTTTTCTATACGTAATATTGTATTTACAACTTACAACATCTCCTTCACCTTAATTAAATACAAAAAATTATTTCGATGTGAAGTGTAACATTTGCGATAATATTCTTGCACATTTTTACGCGTAAAAATTTTACAAGCAAATGTCCCTTTCGTATGACACGCATCCACACACACACACACGCACACACACATATATATATGTGTGTGTGCGTGTGTATATTACGACGAGTCTGTTGTAACGATGGATATATAAAATCTTGAGAATAGTAACTTTAGAAAAAGAGATATGTACGTAAGGACACAAATTTCTGCGAAATAAGGAAAAGAAAACGCATTTTACAGTATCAAGTCCTTTTAGCGTCTAGTGTATAAGTTATATGACGTATGTCGATTAGTAGAGAGTTAGAGGTAGATTAAGGTGGTGACATTACCTGGGCCGCTACTCACCTACAGGCACTGAGCCTGTCATGGGAGTAGGCGATGATGACACCATGGTCAACCGACCTTGTTCTTTCACTATGGGATCTAGAAGAGAAAAGCTTCATTTATATCCGGACGAAGCGCGAATTCGCAAAAATGTATTACAAGGAATTGGCGTTCAGACATTACGGCGAAGAGAACGCATCGACATATGCTTACAAAAGTAAGGATGCTCCATAGCCTCGCGCGCAGTTAGTCTCTCGTAATGATCGTAGCGCAAGAGCTTGTCGAGGAAGTCCAAACTCTCCGGTGAAACTAGATGCTGGTTTTCCGAATGTACAAAGCGTTCCCAGCGCTTACGCGAATGCCGCCCTAAAATGTCGTTGAAACGTGGATCGAGTTCAATGTGATACTTGTCAAGATACTCAAACAGTTCCTCGGTCCCGAGAACTTTTGCAATTCGAACTAATTGGTCATAATTATCGTGTCCATGAAAGAACGGTTCTTTCCTGAATATCATACTCGCGAGCATACAGCCCAATGACCACATATCTAATGAATAGTCGTACATCTGAAAGACATCAAACAGTACTGTTCATTGCTTCTGTACACAATACTTGCGCATACATCTCTAAAAAGTTATTTTCTCCCTCTGTCTCGTCGCTGTCGACGCCGCTTGTCATATTACGTTTGATGCACAGAATACATACTTGATAATCTACAAGTAATTCCGGGCCTTTGAAATAGCGAGAAGCTACTCGTACATTGTATTCTTGACCGGGATGGTAGAACTCCGCCAATCCCCAGTCAATTAACCGTAACTTTCGATTCTCATGGTCTATCATCACGTTGTGCGGTTTCACATCCCTGTGCATAATTCCCATACTGTGACAGTAATCTAACGCCTGTACAGAAACCAAACGAGAGCGATTATATTATAAACGTCACAACATCCCCGTTTTCTTACATTTAGACGGTGCGTCAGTCTTGTACAATTCTGTTACTTACTACGAATATTCACAACTCCAAAATTCAAAAAATTGCTGAAATTTTAAAATTTGTTGATGCACCTGGAAGGATGAAAAGGAAGCATCTTTTCACATGTTCTTTAACAGGGAAAAATTTTATTTTTAATAATCCTCTAAATCGCAAACAGATAACATGAAAATCAATAGACCATTTGTGCAAATGACTCGTGTACAAATTAATTGCAGATTTTGATACATCGATAATGTCTTTAAATACTTTTGCAAAACAAACGTGATGATAGTAACAACACTGATAAGTGATTAAACAAAAAAAGAGAATGGGAAAAACGTTACACAAAAATTGTTATCTAAAACTGATAAGTAAATAATTTCCTATCATCAAAACGAGATGAAACATGTGCAAAAGTTTTCATTTTCATCCAAGGCTGCAGTATCATATCGCAGTGTAAAAACAAAACTGAGCAATAATAGACACATGGACATTAATAAGGAAAATGCAAAAAACAGTAATTCAACATTTTCCAGCTCTTTCTGGAACCGATGACTACGTCTATCAAAACAATAATCTTAAAGTTTCACCACAAACTGATATTTGGTTCCATTGCACTTAACAATACACGCACTTTAAGTAATTCGTAGAGGTAGTATCTTATGTCGTAGTCAGTTAGCGTCTGGTATAATTGCTTGAAGTCTGTATTGTTGACATGTTCAAAGATCAGTGCTGGTGTCCTCGAAACAGGATCTTTGACAACTGCTTGGAGTGTAATTATGTTGGTCCCACCTTTAAGATTCTCTAAAATTTTTATTTCCCTTTTTATTTTCTTCTTTTTTACAGGCTACAACAAATAAAAAAAAATATTAATACCTCTTCTCTTTTCTTCCTATCTTATCAGATACTCATTGAATGTTATATGTTCGTTGAATATATAGTTTAGCGTAATTAACATACCTTCAATATTTTTACGACACATTTTTCATTGTTTGTAACATTTATGGCTTCAAATACTTCACTATATTTACCCCTTCCCAATTTTCTTACTAATTGGTAATCATCTTGTTGCCTATGTCGAGAAACACAAAGCAAATCATTAAAACAGAATGTTACCAATGATGTTAATAGCAACAATATCAAGAATTTATATTTTCTATAATAAGGCTTACCCCCAATCAACAACATAAGATTCATAATCCCAGTACTCTCTTGGTTTATGTGAATTCACATCAGCATAAACTCGTGCTCTACTTGGTAATGCCATTCTCTCAAAAGTATTACTATTAATAAGTGCCTTATTGATAGATATACTGTCTCTGCTGTCTATTCCAAACTTACAGCTATTAATGACTTTGTCTCCTCTGTTCACCCAACTACGTACACGTGAGAACAGTAATAAACCTAAACAATACATACAATTTTATTAAAAATCGGATAAATTCGTAATTACACAAAAATAATAAAGAAGATAATACATAAATGATGAAAATTTAAATCACTTAAGCAGCCCTTATGATATAAGGCAATTTGATACAATACCCCTTTAAGAGAGATGCTTGGTATGTGAACGTAATAGTACAGAATATTCAGAAGAAACATAGAAGCATAAACATATGTGTATACTAAAAAAAGTACATGAAAATTTTCAAGCAAACTCAGAATCTTTAAGAAAACGTAAAGCATTGAGTGCAGTAGAAGATATATTATAGCTTGCTGTGAACCTTGACACGGTGTGCGATACAGTTTCAAGTCTGTGCAAGTTCTACCGAAAGATATAAGCGGACAGGATAAAAACACGTAGACAGAGACAAAAACTAGAGTTCTTATCAACTACAGCAAAGTGAAAGCACCTTATTTCGATATTTTCACTTATCGATTGTACCGTCAGGGTCTCGGGAGTATGCAGAACGTGTTCAGGGATCACTTGTTGGCGTGGCGCACGGCGCACGACGATGGGATTCCGTCCAGCTTTCGCGTTCGCGAGATTCGCAACGAGACGAACGTACTAGCGGCCAACAAAGCGAAAGCACGCGCATGCAAGAGGCACAAGGCACGTACACACATGTACCCGTGATATATCACACGCCATCGCAGTCGCGGAATAGACGTAGACTCATATTGGACTCACCTAGAGCATTCCGAGCTCGAATCTTGACTGGATTAAATATAACGAATTCCCGATTTCTTTGCGAGAGCGCGAAGCTTACTCGCGGAATAGCTGAGGCCGCGCGGCCGTGTGAAACTCGAGATTTTTGCGGGCGGCCGGCTTCTTAAACGAGCGAGGTCCAAGATGGCAGCCGGCGACCCGCCATGAACTTCCAAAGTACAGAAGTCCAGAAACTCTTCGCACACAACGATCACGCGAGAGAGATTGTCCGCGAGATAACGATCGTTTTCATAGTCAGATCTTAAAGTTTTAGCACAAGAACATCTGTAATGGTTTCTGCACACAGGACGCGGTAACGCTTGCCGCGCGGCGGAAGTTCGCGCGGCAAGCATTACCGCGTCCTGTGTGCAAGAGCCATAACATGTTAAATTTACGGATTTCTTTGTGCGTTGACTTAAGTTTAAATTTACACACAGGTATGGCCATTGTCCCCTAGTCCATAACCTTGCTTTAATCTTTAAGTCGTAAGAAATTGACCAACCACAGTAGATTATTTTAAAAATAATCAACTGTGGTTGGTCAATATCTTACGGCTTAAAGATTAAAGCAAGGTTGTGGACAAGGGGTGTATTGTCAGTGGGTGCTTTCCAATTGTTTAACACATCTTGACACACACGTACACAAAACCAGTTTATTGGTTACATATTATCTAAAATATCTTGTAAGATAATATACAACCAATAAACTGGTTTTGTGTAACACAGTGTATGCAACTGGAAAGCACCCAGTATTTAACGTAACGTAACATGTTACGGATGTGCTTGTGCGTTGGCTCTAAAGGGACGTCTACATTGGAAGTAAACAGGAAGAAGTAGGAAGTAGGAATAAGAAATTGACCAATCATAGTTGATTATTCTTCTCACATTCGACTGTGGTTGGTCAATTTCTTACTCTTACTTCTTACTTCTTGCTATTTACTTCCAATGTAGACGTCCCTTTAAGCCCATTCTACAATTGCGTGAACGTGGTTGTAAGTGGTTGTAAATGATTACGACAACCTATCAGAGTAAAGCCTATTCTACAATTGCGTGAACGTAGTTGTAAGTAGTTGTAAGTGATTACGACAACCAATCAGAGTAAAGCAATCAGTGAATAAAACATTCGGATTGGTTGACTCTTACGTTCACGACTACGCTTACGCAATTGTAGAATGGGCTTAAGGTTGATATTTCACGTGTCATATGACAAGCTTTTTGGTTGACGAATAAAGAATCTAGAAATACTCTATTCGCCAATCAATAAACGTATCCGAAAGCTTGTCGTACGACACGTGAAATAGCACCCTAAACTGCGCAGTAAACTTACGTATGCTGCTATTTCAAGAATAAGGGTCCAGTTGATTATTTTAAAAATAATCGACTGTGGTTCGTCAATTTATTACAGCTTAACCCCTGGTCTACATTCAATGATTTAAGATTTAAACCTTAAAAATTGACAAATCACAGTCGACTATTATAAGAATGATCCAATAGGATTAGTCAATTTTTAAAGCTTAAGTCTTAAATCATTGAATGTAGATCAGGGATAATAAATCGCGCCTATAATCTGATACGGGCATAATGGCTTGGTTTACATCGTGCACTTGATACGCGTACTATATAGTAATGGCTCCTACACACAGGACGCGGTAATGCTTGCCGCGCGGCGGAAGTTCGCGCGACAGCCAATCAATATGCTGCTTTCCGTAATAACCTTCTAGTTCTTACGGAGAAACAACATATTGATTGGCTGTCGCGCGGACTTCCGCCGCGCGGCAAGCATTACCGCGTCCTGTGTGCAGGAGCCATAACTTTCTATTAAATAATCTTAATATTGAGAATGCATATCAACGATGACGCATCAATCGATATAATAAATATTCTTGATCAGTATTATACCAGCTTAATATATCGTTATTTATATACTTCGTCGATATTAAGATTTTCTAATAGAAAGTTACTATTTAGTACGCGTATCAAGTGTACGATGTAAACCAAGCCAATGACTCTCGCAGCCAGCGTGCGATACGTGACACGTGATATCCAATCAGCGTACAGCTTTTCCAGAACAGCAATACGATCATTGGATATCAAACAGCGCATTGCGCGCATTGCGCTAGTTTGAGCTTTAATAGATCTTCTACAATAATGGAAGATTCACACTGCGTCGAGTCTGATGTTCAATATCCAATAAAAAATAGCTTTCCAATGGAGAATTGAATTCTCTACTAGAAAGTTGTTCTCTTATTGAATATCGGACGCAGTATGAATCCTCCATAAGTCATTAGTCACAATGACGCATATATATAAAACCAAGCATTTGTATAATTTTGTAAAGACCATTCTACAATTGCGTAAGCGTGGTCGTGAACGTAAAAATCAACCAATTAGAATGTTTATTTACTGATTGCTTTATTTTGGTTGTCGTAATTATTTACAACCACGTACGCAATTGTAGAATGACCTTAAAACGTAACTGCATTGTAGGCAATTCTTGACGTTTCACTTATAACGTGACGAGTACGTAATTTTAATTGCACACTTATCTATATTTACACAAAAAACCCTGGCACCAATCAGCGGAGACACGTGACTGAGTTCATCCTTCGTCGAGGCTCTTTAATTGGTCGATATTATCATTGTGTTCATTAAACTCTGCGAATTGTTTACTGGCCGTTACTTTGCTGATATAATTATTAATATTTCTTTTTCTTTCCTTATAGTTTCCCTGCTGCACATTTTCACATCAATCGTATCATAAATGATCAGGACAAATTTCAAGTTTACAGATCATGCGTTTTCATGTTCCATAAAACTCAGAAATACTCTTTGCACCACAGTATTTATAAAAAAAATAAACTAATCTAAAGAATCGTCAGCGTAATATTTAAGGGCAGAAAGGTAACAGATTATATTTATTGATGAATGGGGGAGAAACATGAATATGTATGTTTATATATTCATTAGAATATATCCGAGTTACAAGTCGTAACTATCGCCGCACACAGCATGAAACGTGCGAATACAATAACTGATGATCACTTGCTGAATACAATGAAGCGTATTGCACCTATATATCGTTTATTGCATATGTTGGCGTCTACGAGCAGCTCTCTGTTTATCGAAACGTAGTTCCATCTCTTCTAGAACGCGCGGAGTATAACGAACTACTAATTTCACGGAATTCTGCGCCTGCTTCAACAATTCTACCGCCTTTTCGTGGTTTTCACCTTCAACGCACTGAAGAGCAAATTTCATCCTGGTATTCTTTGCAGTATGAAAAGAATTAAACGAAGGAAGGACTACCACTCACCACTCCATTGACAGACAACAGCTGATCTCCGCGTTTTAAACCGCCGTGTCTGTCGGCAACTCCACCGGGGATGATGCGAGATATGTAAATCGGCGAATTTTGCTCCTTACCTCCCATCACATTGAAACCAAGCCCCTCCTCGGTCTTGGGCAGTTCTACCACGCGCGGGTGTGCGTGACCTTCGCTGGCAGCGAAAGCAGCAACGGTTGCTTTAGCTGTAGCAGATGCACGCACATCCTGTGAACCCTTGACAGAACAGTCAATGATTGTTATAATGGCAGTGATCGATGAGAAATTGGTGTGTCACTCGCTATATTTACCTGAATGTCGACAGTCTCATACACATGCTCATATACTTCTCGTACCGCACTAAGGAAATCACTTTGCAACACTTTCTGCAATGCTGCCAATTTGGTGGTGGGAACCTCTCCGCCTGAACATCATAAATATTGAAAAAATGATATCAGTAGCAAGTGGAAAATTGCTCTATTGTGTGACTACATACCCTTTTGCAACTTGTCTAACAATTCTATGGACCTTTTGACATCTAGAACAAAGAAAGATAAAATTCTATAAAATCTTTGGCCCATATTCTCTTTTATCCAGGAAAATACTTCTGAATGTGACTCAAAGCCAATTAAAAGACCTATGAGTCATCAATGAGTTTCTATCAATATCGCTTAAATCTTAATCTAAGTTTCATGCTTGGTTCTACAACTTACTTTAACTTGAAATTAACTCATGAAAGACCTTTCCAAATAAACTTTCATGATCACATATTGTATGTATATGAGAAAATCAACCAATCATGACCCATGCAATAAGAAGAGGCTTCATATTAGATGTATTTTACATTTGATTAGCCAATTTCCTTGTGCATATAAATAATGCAACTGTGTAAGTTTGTATAGATCTCTAAAGAGTTTAACTCTGATTAAAGTAAGTTAATTGAGCCTGAGTCTTTTTGTCTGAATATATAGTTTAAACTCAAATTAAAATCATCTATGTGCTTTTTGTCTCCTGTTTCTTGCTCTGTTTTTTTTTTTGCTAAAGGCTTAAGATTTCAGTGAGAAAGAAACAAGAAGCAAAAACGATTTAGATTAAGATTTAATCGATGTTGGCAGAAATAGGCATTAGAAACACTTTTGTTGACAAAAGAGAGTTTAGAGGATATGGCCCATCAAAATTATAATTCATTGAGCCTATACTGCTCTTTTGTACTTCTACTCTATTTTTCTTTATTTTTGTATTTTGCGAGAGTTAATTTGGGTGGAGAATGAGAACTTACCCTTCGCTAAAGTAAGAGGCTCGCCCATGGTTGCCATTACTTTTATATTTTGTGTCACACGGCGTATTTGTTTTCCACCTGTTAATTAAACCTCAACGCGTATGTGCATAACGTAAAGATAAAATATAAACAAAGTACGGACCAATATAGCGTATTTGTACGCGAGAGGAAAACCTCCGAGTACCAACAAGTATATTCTGAAAAATCAATTGATGCTTGTTTTTCATTCGGTCATATGGACAAATTTATTAATCAATGAAAGTACCGGAATTGCTCACCAGTGGAGCTAAAATCTCTCTTCCCCCTCTTCGTCAGTGAATCTTACAAATCTGTTCGTTTTATTTACACTTTAGGTCTGTTCTTTGTAATTAAACTAGTCCATACTTTGAAACTTAAAAAAACAGATATATAACTGTGATCTGGTATAAAAAAGAGAGAAAGAGAACCAGTGCAAGCAAGAACAGCCTGTTCGGCTAAAAAGAAGAGACCATTTGCTCGTTGCTGCAGTCCCGCCGAATATGCGGAAAGCGCGACTAAAACGAACGGACCTTTCGTCATGCCGGCGGGAGAGCGAGCGATAAAATGGCGGATTTTCCGGAGAAATTGGCCGTAGCACGGGGGAAAGATTTCGTCAAACAAAATATCCTTCGCGTCAAAAGTTCCTCCCCGAAAGAGCCCAAGCAGCGCTCCGTCGACACTCGTTACGGCGACACGCGTGATCTGAAAAATAGCGGACTACTTCCGACTTACGTGCACAAGAAAGTACGAATGTTATTTCTGTCGTTTGCTCATTGGGCTCGTCTACGATGCGGCGTAAGCTTGGCGTGAAGGTCAGAGTGAGAGATGAAAGTAATTCATTTCTGAGCTTGAGCAAGAGAAATACTTTCGATGTGAGGAAGCAGAAATGATAGGCGTATCGTGGACGAGCCTACGCGTTCTCGACATAATTTTTTAACGTCTTCACGTTCCTGCAGAATTATGGCAAGATACCGAAATTCGTGGCGCTTGGCACAAGAGCCTCCGTGAGCGTAGAAACGGAAACTACGAGACACCGTGATCTCGATGAGGACAAAATGCCCGTGATACCCTTGTGTCGATATGTCGACAAGGAAGAGCGGAAAATGTTGTTGGATGTAGGTATAGATCCGTGAATCCACATTCGTTCTCAGAATCTCAGTTAATTCCTTCGATTATGTGGAAACAGGGTATGAAGGAAAAATGGGAGAGTTTGATGAAGCAATTCCAAAGATTGCCATTGACCATCACGCTGGCGCACGTGCAGAGGAAGGCCAGGTTGGAGCGCGAGTTGCAGCAGCTCGAAAAGGATATCGCGATTGTCGAGCGACATCCGCATATGTACGTTTACGGCACCGACGACACGTAACAACGTCGACATGCTTTACGATATTTCGAGACGTACGGGGAAGAAATGTATCCGTCCTATCACATTCCTGTCGATATGTTCCGACAATATTTATACATTGTACGTGAAAAGATGTATAAACGATTAATACGATCGAGCTTCTTTCTGAACAGCTTGATTTCCTTTACCAATTCCACGTAATGGTACATCAGTATTAAAATTTCCACCTCTTGGGGTTGACTTTTCTTTGATAACTGTCAGTTAGGTCATACGTTTGTTTTTGCTTCAAATTAGACAGAGGATATAGACAGTTGAGTGAAAAATTATAATACTGATGTTATATTACTGTTAAAAATCGATTCTTCAATAGCAGCTTAAAATTAGATTGAAATTAAAACTGCCAACACGTCAAACCCGCGTAGCGTTGCGTCAGGGTCAGTGTCATGTCGTTGACCTTGCGTTTCTCATAAGTTGCGAAATCTGATGGCGTCAATCCGTTTCGCTGAAAGCGCGCCAAAATCTGATCGCCATTCCGTTGCATTCCTAGACTAAGTTCGTCTTGCACGCTTTCGTGCTGAAAGCACCATTCTATCTTTCTTTGATATAATGAATGATAAAAATGGCATGAAATTTGACAGCATGAAGATAAAATGTGCAAGACGAAGTTAAGGCCTTTGCACGTAGAAAAATTTTAACTGTAACCGTAAGGTTAAATAATTGACCGAGGAATAATTGACTGTGATTGGTCAGATTGGTTAAAATTTTTCTACGTGCAAAGGCCCTTAGCTTCTTTTTCGAGAAAAAAATTTCAAAAAATTTCCTTCGAAAAGAACGTTCTGGAACACAACCCTGGTAACCATGAAGGAAAATTCACATCTTTGGTTGCATCCCAAAACATCTTTTTCGAGGAAAATTTTACTCTTAAATCTATAGTTCATGTTACATATACTATAGACTTAAGAGTAAAATTTTTCTCGGAAAGGACGTTTTGGAATGCAACCTTGGTACACCAAAGTGATGAAATATGATAATTGACAGTTTCTGTTTTTCTACCAGCGCGATTGGCTTTTCTGTCAAAGGTTGCTTTCCAACAAGAGACACAAGTCGATACAAACATCATTCTATCTTTGTTCCACATTTAGTGAGTAACAAAGATAGGATGATACTTGTGTCGATTTGTGTCTCTTGTTGGAAAGCAACCAAAGTATGAATTCTCCTTGAGAGGAAAGATGTCATGTAGAAGTGCGATCTCATAGGCGACAATGACGACGACAAATAATGGGTCAATATAACACCCATTCGCAACGGACGACAATCGGCCGAGCTCGGGAAAACGTCGATACACACCTCCTCCTTCTCCCCCTCCTCACTTCGCCCCACTTCGCGGCAATTGTGTCCCAGCTCCGTCGTGCTATCCGCTACAAAACACTGGTGTTTCCCGAGGCATTTTTCCAGCGGATTAAACGAAGCTAGTCAGAAATGGTAATCGTCAGCGCGTCCTGTACGGACACCCGAGCCCGCGACGATCCTCCCGCGACCGCGACACCGCGTCGCGCGGTCCTCCCGGTTTCTCGACCTCGTCCTCGCATACGAAAATAATCTCTCGCGAGCGATCTGTTTTTATTGAGATATCTCTTGCGCCTATGTGTCAAGCAGATCTGTTTCAAACAATCTGTCTGTCTTGCAGGGTAATGAAAGTTCGATGCCCCTGGAACTCTGTTCAAACTGTAAGTCCCTTCAGTCACTACCTCGAGTTGTTTCAATCCGAGTATCTCGAAGTAACCTGACTTCTTATCGGGTGGTGTTGTGCCTAACGTAACGTTTCAACGAGCAAGTGTGCAGTGGAATTGCGTTGTTATTATTGCAAATTTGCGCGCTCGTAATTAGATTCTTGACGAGAATCCTTCGAAGAAGGATTCGCCCCGACAATTCGCTCATACGTGATTTTTAATGCTCTAGTTGACGTGGACGAAATCAGAAGACTGGGGAAAAGATTTCGGAAATTAGATCTGGATAATAGCGGCGCTCTCAGCATCGATGAATTTATGTCCTTGCCTGAGTTACAACAAAATCCGTTGGTACAACGTGTTATCGACATATTCGACGCGGACGGCAATGGAGAAGTAGATTTTAAGGAGTTCATTCACGGAGTGTCTCAGTTCAGTGTTAAGGTAATATATCCCAGATAGATTTTCATAACAATCATGACATGAGACAATTATGGTGGAAGTTTTACAATTCTTTTTGTTATATTATAAATATATAATGGTGTAAATACATAAATCATTGAGTTTATATCATGTATAACGATGTTAGTTCTGTATTACATCGATGCAGCAAGGAATTTATTTAAAGTTACTCCCAGATTCTTATATTCTTCATTTTGCATGACACTATTTGGAACAAATTTTAATCATTTTCTTCATATTTCTATTTTGTTATTTTATTTGATAAATATGTGTACAATCTGATCAGTCATAAAGAAGTCACATCAAAGTTGTTGCATTTTGTGATTTAATATATTTAAAGTTTACATAAATTAGTTTGTTGGAGATCCTGTCCTCCACAAACAGTGTAGCTATCTATCCTGTACAGAAATAATTGTGCAACTTGTAATATATACAATATGTGCAGAAATAATGATCAATTTGTCAATTTGGCAGGGTGACAAAGAGAGCAAATTACGATTTGCTTTTAGAATTTATGATATGGATAATGATGGTTACATAAGTAACGGGGAGCTTTTCCAAGTGCTAAAAATGATGGTCGGCAATAACTTGAAGGATACACAATTACAGCAGATTGTTGACAAAACAATATTGTTTGCTGATAAAGATGAAGATGGCAGGATTAGTTTTGAGGAATTTTGTTCTGTAAGTAATTGTCAGCACTTGGAGCATATTTTCCTACAAGCTGTGTGACACATTATAGACATGCACCTTTTATGATTGTTTTAGGTTGTTGGTAATACGGATATTCATAAGAAAATGGTAGTTGATGTTTAAGCTCCAAATTCGCGCAAACAAAACTCTTAATTTACAATACATGGTACATTAATTGAAATCTACAAATTCAATATTAACAACAGATTTATGGGATAGTTCTAAGTAACAAAGATCTGTTTAGAGTGAATTCACGTCATTATTGTTCCAAAGCCTTTAATCATTATGAGTCTGTCCAAGAGACAAAAATTCACAAGGTATGTCAGACCAAATGCAGCACGAATATTAGGTCAGTATGAAGCACACATGTCTTGTATTGTGTGCTAAGGAATGTTCTGGAATCAGATCAAACTGTCTTGAGTGTTTTTTCAATGACAAAGAACAAAAGAGCAACGGAATGGTTACAACGTGCAATTTGGTATTTTATATTCAATACTGAACTAAAAGTTTTCGAAAATTTTTTTTTTTTTTTTTTTTTTCAAAAGTTTATCAAGCGCCTGCTGGAGGGAACTTTGCGCATAATTTATACCTTCCATTAGTAACACTCTTAGTGAGGAAGCACGAAAGTAAAGTCAAGAACGTCACCATGCCATAAACTTGTCGTATTTCCTTCGCTGTACAAAAAGGAGTAATCGTTAACATTGTCATTAATAGGTTAACATTAAAGATTTTATTCGATAGCCACGGCGAGTCCGTGGTTACTATTATTTTAAGCTATTAATATTTTACAAATGTTATAGATAATTCGATATACTTCATATTACGTTTACTTACAATATAAACAATAATCATTGATTGTGCATTCGAAAGAGGGATACCTGGGGAGAAAATTGTGTGGATTCGTAAGCAAAGATACTAATTATTTAAGTCGCACCACTTTGTTGGCCGTTGCGTGTATAAGTTATGTATCGACATGGGATGTTTGTAATTTTCGAGAGTGTACGATTTATTTATTTAGATATTAATTTATTCATGCGCGAGTAGCGAGATGATTTGCCATTACGAAATGTATGGAGGTATATGTAACGGATAAGAGTTTATTTTATCTTTGTTAATTCTATGTACACGTACGATGTTATATGATCTTATCGTGTCTAAACTTGAAAATTGTGAAATATATATTGAAATTAATCTCTGTACAGATACCAATGTTGCGTCTTTTCATTTTTGTGAAAACACGAAACTCGTCGATGTTTCAAGTCTTCTGCATATCAAAGTACGAACTAGAAAAAGGAGTAAATATATGAAATATATGCATGAAAATTGAAAATACTGCAACGTGCAAAGTAAAATTAAAAAAGTCAGCAAAGGTGAGATTTCTCGAAGATTTTTTAAAGGAATCGTGTTTTTCACACACTGTTTTTCCAAGAGCTGGAAGTTTATTGGCTCTCCCGCGTTATTTTTGCCGCGCGAGAAACGTTTCTGTAGAATCCTGTGTGCAGAGGTCATTAGGTTTGTTTGCACTTTTGACACTTTTATACCTATATTTTTACGCTTGTACACTGGATCTCTCTTTAGAAATAAAAACTCTCATTGGATTTCTCTTATCGCGTCTAATGTGCAACGGACATTAGATACAAGAGTATGAAAAGTGCAGGTAACGTGAATAAACCTATTATTCCCAGTTGTGGGTTGCATTCTAAAATTCAACTTTGGTTACCATAATTCTATATTTCATGTTACGTATACTATAGAAAATGGTAACTAAGGTTGAATTTTGGAACGCACCCCAGGGTGGCGATTTTCAACGTCATGCGAATGAGATGTGCATACAAAAATTCTATAGTTCACGTTACACAACTATAAATTTTCGCATGCGCATCTCATTCGCGTACTGTTGAGAGCAACAGACTTATGCAGGATTTACATCGCGTCTGATGTAAGACGTACGATATCCAATAGGAGAACAGCTTTCCAATGGAGAATTGAATTTTCTATAAAGGGACATCTACAATAAGTAATAAGCAGTAAGCAGTAAGTAGTAAGTAAAGGCCATCACACACAAAATTCCGTAATCGAGTATTCGGCTCTTCGTAATAATGGAGAGGTTACGAAGAGCCGAATGGGATTGGTCGATTTCTTTATGCTTACGTTTTAAGTTCTTACGGAATTTTATGTGTGATGGCCTTAAGCAATAAGAAGTAGGAAGTAAGAATAAGAAATTGACCAATCAGAGCTGATTATCCTTCTCACATTCGACTGTGGTTGGTCAGTTTCTTAAGCTGGTGGCATATAGAAAAACTTAAGCGTCTTCTACAATGGCCGTAGGAGTAGTAGTAAGAAATAAGCAGTAAGCAAATTGACCAATTCCATTCTCATGTTTCAAAAATAATCGATTGTGATTAGTCTATTTACTTACTGCTTATTTCTTACTACTACTCCTACTGCCATTGTAGAAGACGCTTTAAGCAGTAAAACGTAAGCAGTAAGTAAATTGATCAATCACAGTCATTCATTCTTCTTACGATCCAAGAATCAACGACTGTGGTTGGTCAATTTGCTCACTGCTTACATCTTACTGCTTAAGTTTTTCTATGTGCCACAGCCCTTACTCTTACTTCCTGCTTTTTATTACTTACTTCCAATGTAGACGTTCCTTTAGAAAGCTGTTCTCCTATTGGATATCAGATGTCATACGTCGGATATCGAACGCGGTGTGAACTCTACATAAAGCGCTGACGTTGCGCGCCCGAATACAGCCAACTGCCATTCGAAGAGAGCGACACGACTCAGCAGTGTTGGCGACACTGCCGTTCTCCCTCCTGCCGCTGTATATCATTGTTGCTGTTTTGTGGCCGGTGTATGTTGGCTAGTTTACGTTTTTCACTCTTAGTTGTCCTCCTCGCGTAGAGTACAATTCTCCGGTGATATATCACGAGGTTGACGCGACGGATCTCGTTGACGGGGACTCATAGGCGCGAGTCGTCGGCGTTGACAGGGAAGATGGAAAACTTGGAGGAGGTGCTGCAGGCGCTCGACGAGTTCCAGAAGATGCGGCCGACGGAGATACCGCGCGAGCTCGAGGAGTACCTGTGCTGGGTCGCCAAGACGGGCGACCCGGTGTATCAGTGGCCGATGATCAAGACACTCTTCCGGGAGAAACTCACTCGCGTGATGACGGACTTTTACGAGAGCTGCCCCACGTTGGAGCTCGCGGCCTGCCCCAACGTAGAACATTTCAACTACGACACGATGAAGAGCAACCTACTCGAGAGACTCGAGTCGTTCGCGAACGCGCCCTTCACCGTCCAACGGATATGCGAACTGCTGACCGCGCCGCGGAAGGAGTACAATCGTGTCGACAAGTTTATGCGCGCCATCGAGAAGAACATCCTGGTGGTCTCGACGCGCGAGCCTGGCCCCATAAACAGACGCGGCGAGACGGGCGACGGCATGGTGAACGGCTCCGTCGAGGAGGACACCGCATCGGTCACACAGCAGCAACAACAACCACCGCCACCGTCGCCGCAGACGACACAGTCGGCCGCGCAGGACGTCGAGATGGAATGGGAGAAAGACTGCGCCTCGACCGTCACCATCAGCGTGCACACCGTCGAGAACGAGACGTCTCTGCTGCACACCGTCGTGCCAGGCGCCGCCGCCGCCGCCGCCGCCGCCGCCACCGCCGCCGCCAATTCCGCTGCAGCCAGCACGGGCGGCGCGTTGGCGAAGAACGCGGTGTTCTCCGTGGACGAGACCGCCCGCGAGAAGCTGGAGCAGGCGGTCTCTAGGAGCGACCAGCTCACGACGTCCAACTTCGTCGGCGCCACATCGAGCTTCTCGGCGATATCGAACCTAACCTCACAAGTAGAACAGTCGCATGAGCCGGTCGTGGCCGCCGCGGCCTCGGTAGTGCAGAACCTGTCGACGCCTGCGGAGGCGATCGTCGCCGAGGACTCGCTCGGGAGTGCTGACGTGGCGGACGTGATCATGAACGAAGATACCAACTCCCAGGCTAGTTTAGACATGGAGAATGACGAGGTGGATCCGGCGACCGCGGTAACGACGACTACAGCGACGACGACGACGACGACGACGACGGCGGCGGCGGCGGCGACGGTGACGACAACGCCGGCAACTACGTCGCCGTCGACGACGGCGTCCACCACGTCGGCGTCATCCTCACCGTCGTCGTCGTCATCGTCGTCGTCGTCGTCGTCAATGTCATCATCATCATCGTCATCCTCGACCTCATCTTCATCGTCCTCCTCCTCTTCCTCCTCGGCGACTACCACAGTCACCGTGGTAGCTACGGTGATCCCGTTGACGACAGACACTACGCGGAACCTGCAAGCCGCCTTTCAAGCGAAACGTTTTGAGGATGCCGACGAGAAGTGCTCAGACAAGCCAAACGAGAAGACAACTGCGGCGGCGGTCGCGGACTCACCAGGCCTCGTTCATTCCACGAAGAGCGGCGAGGTCGCGGAGACTGAATGCGGCGACGTAAACGGGATACCTCGCGATGAGAGCAGAATAACGGAGAGCGACTCGTTGAAGACAGACGTCGAAGTGGCGGAGGTCGCCTCGGGCGACGACGAGGCTGGCGACGGCGTCGTCGCCGACGAGGAGCGGCTTCCGAGCAAAGTAGAGGAAGAAGCGGAGGCTTCGCCTCGGCTGGACGACGTGGACGAGGAAAAGTCGCGCTGCCAAGACGCCGGAAGCGCGGACATCGCGCAGATGGTGTTCATCGAGACCGCGGAGGACAACGCTATCGCGTCCGACGAATGCGCGAATGCGTCAGTAGTGTCGCCCGAAGCATCACGCAAGACGGAGAAGACCGAGTTGCAGCCGAAGGGAACGTGCGCGACGACGACGACCACGACGACGACAGCGAGCTCCTCTCCCAAGGACAGCCGGCTGCTGCACGACCAGACCGCCAGCGAAAAACCCGACAGCACAGACGTGGAGCAGGTTCTAGAAACCATTCCCAGGCTGGGATCTCCCAGGAGCGACGAGCAGATGGGACAAGAACTACACGCCGAGTTCAACGGGGACGGCACGAAGATGATGAAAGTCTCCAACGACAAGGCGGCTCTCGTTGAGTCCATAGTGGTAGAGCCGGCTAAGGAGAAGGCCAGGGAAGTGACTGCGGTCGAGAAACTCGACTCGACCGTGTCTCCCGTTATCGAGATGATCCCGTTATCGGACGGCTCGGTCACCGACACGGTCGTCTGCCCGTGTCCGCAGGACGACGCGTTAATGCCCGTTGCGGAGGACGACGGCACGACGGCTGAACAGGTGAAGGTCAAGCAGTCTTCTGTCGTGGAGAGCGCAGCCTGCAGGAGGGAGCCGCACGACCAAGTGGAGATGATGGAGGTGGACGAAGACGAGGAGTCAGCGTCGACGTTCCAGCAACAACAACAATCGGACGAGCAGATGGAGGACGAGACGATGGAGGAGTTGTCGAAGAGTTAATCCAGACGAGCCGGCCGAGTCTCACCGACCTCTCCTCTCCCTCTGCTTCAACATTTCATACTTGTTCCCCGGCGTGTGACGCCGACGACACGCCGGGGCACGTCGGATGCATCACAGACGCTTCCACAAGCTGCCCGTGGCGGCGTAGCTCGTGCGAGATCGCAATGTCGTTTCAGGGACAAGCGAGAGCTGGCGGTGAACTTTCGACGGGACCCTCTATATTGTCCACAAAACTCGTACATCTCGTTCGTCGTTCTTAATTTATTCCGGCTGCATCGTTGGGTACGTCGTCCCACGGGGAGAACTCCACACACACTTATACACGCGCGCCGACGAGATGCGTTTTTTCTAACTCTTCTCGGAAGAAAAAAGTACACAGCCTACAATCCGCGGAAGGAAAGAGAGAGAGAGAGAGAAAGAGAGAGAAAAGAAGACGGAAAGTGGCGAAGAGGCGTGAGAACAAGGAAGATTGTAATGTCGGAGCCGCTTGTATAGAAAAGCCCAGGATTAACGGCGGATCATCGAGACGTTTCAATATAAATTTATACACGAGTACCGAGTAGTTGTCTGCTTAGATTAAGGTTGTGCCTGTATTAACTATTGTGTATATCGCGTATCGGACAAGTTTTACACGAACAATTTGTCGATTCGAGAAGCGTGACACAACGCACGGGGTACACCGCGGATGCGGATCCCCCGGCGTCCACGGGACGTGTGTCTCGCGGCCGGGGTGAGCGAACGAAGCCGCGATTGTCGCCGCAGCGGCCTTATAATACTAAGTTTCGATTAAACGTCGAGTGTCCTGTCCGACGACGAGAGGCTGCGGCATTAGTGGGAGCACACCCTCGGGATTAGTCGGAGACTGATTCGTTCTCCGCGCGATGTTCATCGGTGGGTGGCGTAGCAGCGCGGCACACTCGCGGAGACGTCGGGAGAAATGGCGCTGCTTCGAGGAGAGGAGCTGTCTGTCGAAACTCGGTCGAGGCTGATTCTTAAGATAGTCATTGCGGTATGGTCAATCGGGGGGCCGGCGTGTGAATTCAAAATAGCGGATCTTCTATTGTCCATGGTAAGGCGGAAGTACCAATGTCTGCAGGACGCTCTCAGATCCTTATCCTGAGCTGTCTTTTAGCGATAAAAATATCTTTAAATGTAACTCATAGGTTTAGTCAGCCTTCAGCCTTCAGTCACACTCAGAGGCACTTTCTTATTGATAAAAGAAAATTTAGGATAAGGATCTTATTATTTCGGTCTTTAAATATTTATTTATACGCAAGGCTATTAATAGTTGCTACTTGAACTCATCTCAAGTGAGATGATGCTCAGATTTGAATTCAGAGTTAGACGAGTTTTTCAATTGAATCGTGATCACTGATATAAATTTCATATACACCATGATTCGACGGAGAAACCTGGATCTAACTTTGAGTAAAAATCTAAGGCTCGTGTTAATGGCTATTACTTAAAACTTGTCTCAAGTAAGATTCTCAGATTCGAATTCAGAGTTAGATGAGAGTTTTTCAGTTGAATCTGATTGCAGATATAGACATCACACATATTATATGGTTTGTTCCTTTCAACTGCTGCACCAATACCATAAGTTAAAGTGAGACAAATATAACTTTCCTTCAATCTGTGGCTCCTGGCAATTAAATGCTCCTACGCCATTTACCAGTTATCATATTTACGTATTATATTGATTGGCCGGTGTACTCGATTCAAAATTTCTGTAGCTGCTTGTGAATAGATTATATTAAAAATCGAAAAAGAAAATATGAAATATTATATTTCTTGGAAATATGTCCCAAAAAAAAAATCACAGGTCACGTCCGAACGTGTTCAAACACGTCTTCACGTTGCGGCGGTTAAGCCGGAACTCTGAGACAAATATATTTGTCTCATTTAACTTATTGCATCAGCGTAGTAGTGAAGTTGAAAAGAATAGACCAAGACTGAAAAGCTAGGATCTAACTCTGAATAAAAATTTAAATATCTTATGTGAGGTAAGTTTCAGGGAACGACTGTAGACACGGGCCTAAGAATATCCACAAGATAAGATCCAAGCATTGCTACTTTTACCTTGCGAACCGAGTACTTTTCATTTATTATGTGTTGAAGATACACGAAGAGAGAGCGAAGTCAATAACGCGAGCTATGTTTCGCGATCGGAGACATGGCATCCTGATTCCTTCCAATTCAGTACCACTATGATTTTCGCTGATAAAAGAACACGGTCGAAAAGTTTGAGAACAAGAAAAGCCGCGTGAATCTTCTATGACGCTAATTCGAAAACAAAGAAACGAATGGGACGACCGAGCTTTTATTACAAAAAGGAAGATAAAGCGATAGAAAGAACATATTGAAGATCGATCCACGCACGAGTATCCATTGCAACGTGTGATTCGAGCCGCTTGCAGTTCTATCTATGTATTTACACAAAATGGCATTACGAGCGGATTCGGACTTGACGCGGATCTAATGAATCATTGTTAGACGAATATCGTAGGAATGGGATAAGAGTAATATAAACTAATAACATATACACGAAATACACACCCAACATACACACATACAAACATACATACACAAATGTGGATATCTGAAAATAGCTCTGTACATTATTTTATAACAAAATATATAAAAATGATTATCGACTTTTCTTTTTTTTATTCGAAGCGTATACCCGTCACCTCATATCACTCCTGAAAGAGAGGACAGTTGTACCAGAGCACTCCTGCCGCTAGCTCTCTGTTTCCACGAACAATGCGTCACGTATGCTCCTTGACACCTTTCGTTTCATCGGTGACAACTGCATAGCATTTGGGATGTTACACCGTTCTGTTCTCATTCCGCGCCGAGCTTTCCGTCCGAATGATGACGTCAAGATAAGCGGTAACTAATTTTATTAGTCGTTCGAGATGCCTAAAAGTAATAAATATGTACATATAATACATTCAAGGACACACGTGAAGAGAAGAGAGCATTTGAACGAATCGACGAGTGGTCATCCGCTCGGTGATTCCTTTCTCCATTTTTTTTTCTCTACGTGAACGTTTGGTGCTTCACTAATTTTTTGAAGTGACCGTTCTCCAAGCTCATCAGCTCGACGTAGGAGCCGGTCTCCGCCACCCGTCCGCCGTCGAGCACCACGATTTTGTCAGCGTTCTTGATCGTGCTGAGCCTATGGGCGATGGTTATCACCGTTCTGCCACGAATGGCGCGTTCCAACGCCTCCTGGACGAAATACTCGCTCTCCGCGTCTAAGGCACTGGTCGCTTCGTCGAGTATTAGGATCTTTGGTTTCTAGAACGCGAAGAGACGGAAGATAAGAGAGATATGCTACTTGTAAACAATCACGGAAGAATTTAAGGCTCCTGGCTCTTTCGATTGATGACGTTAGAAACGAGGAAATGCATTCCTTCGCTCTGACATCATAAATCAAGATTGCCGCCATAGCCTTAATTTTTACAGATTAAAAAATTTACAACTTGATTAACGCATTCATCAGCATTCATCACATATGGGTAACAGTAAAAATTGATTTTGTGTGCCCGAAAATTGATTATTAAACTAAATATGTTTTACACAATTGTGTCAAAGAACAAAAAATTATATAAGACGGTCTGTGGAGAGAATTCCCTAAGTAAACCTTAATGGCGCACGTGTTAATTGATTTACGGAACGATCTACCTTAATTAAGGCCCTGGCGATCGCGACTCGTTGACGCTGCCCGCCGCTGAGCGCGATCCCCCTCTCCCCCACTATCGTGTCCAATCCATCCGTCATCTTGTCCGTGAACTCCAACACGTGCGCCAGCCGCGCGGCCTCCAGCACGTCGGCGTCTGACGCGCTCTCCATCCCGTACAATATATTCTCCCGTATCGAGCAGCTGAACAGAATCGGCTCCTGAGACACCACGCTGATCTGCGACTTCACCCACGAGGAATCGAGCAGACGGAGATCGTGATTGTCTAAAAGTATCGATCCTTTCGTGGGATCGTACAGCCTGAGCAAGAGAGACGCAACGGTGGACTTGCCAGAGCCCGAGAGCCCCACGATGGCCGTCATGGAACATTCCTCCACGTTCAAGTTGAAGCCTTTCAGTACAGGCACCGTGTCGCGCGTTGGATAGGCGAAGAAGATGTCGCGAAACGCCACGTTGCCCGACAACTCCTTGTCCAAGACTTGCCCGCCTTGAATAGGGATGAGCGGCTGTCGATTGATCAGCTCGAAGAGACGAGTGTTTGCGCCAAGCGCCTTGTTCAGCTCGCTGTACGCCGTGGACAGCCCGTTTAGAGATATGCCCACGTAGCCCGCGTACAGCAGAAAAGCGCTCAGACTGCCGACCGTTATGTCGCCGCTCGACACCATGAATACGCCATTGTAGAGGACCGAGAGGGCGATTGCGTTCCCGGAGAGGCCGGTCATGCCGAAGAATAAGCCTCTGTAGAGGCTCTCCTTGTAACAGAGCGCGAGAACGTTCCGCAGCTTCGCGCTGTACCGGCCGATCTCGCGCTCTTCTTGCGCGAATGCTTTCACGGTTCTGATGTTGCTGATTCGCTCCTCGGCAGTCGTGTTGAGCACCGCGAAGCTATTCTGCAAGTCTTTGGAGACTCTCTTCAACACGCGTCCCCAAACAGCCGCGACGACCACCACGGGTGGTACTATAGCTAAGCCGAGCAGAGCGAGCGACGGCGATACGTAGAACATCATGGACACTCCTGTTACCGCCATGACGGCGGAACGTAGACCGTCCGAGACGTTGGACGTAACGGCGGAGCTGATAAGCTGTGTGTCTCCTAAAAAAGAAAAGAGAAAAATGTAAGATTGAATAAAATATCTGTACATGGAACGACACTCTTCAGCCCTGGTCCATGATAATTAGCCTTTTTGCTCAAAGATCAGAAAACATAACATAACAGTAACATGACAGTAACATAATTTTCTAGTAATTTCTTTGCATTGTTAGAAGTTATAATGCTTAAAATGAGTTGTGACATCTGGATTTGTGGAAAATATTCTTTGCCAAGAAATAGTTTTAGAGCAAAAGACAAAAAGCTTTCTACGACCACTGTGAATCAGGACTTGTGTGAATATGTTAAATTTGATAGAAGACACAAAATATACCAATCAATCTCCCAACTAGTTCCCCTGTGCTCCCCTTATCAAACATTGCTGTCTCTTGCCGAAGAATAGCAGCGTAAGCTTGTTTCCTCAGAGATTGTGTAATCCTGTGTCCTGCTGTGGACATCAAATAAACTCTTCTAAAGTTGCTCAGGCCACCTATGAGAAATACTACAAGCAGAACCAACGTTAGTCGACTAAGATTCTCTTTCATCTCTTCTTTCTTCGCAGTGCTGATAACATCTATCACTTTGCCGAAGCAAAAGGGCACAGCCATCGTCACACTGGACGACACCAGTAAAAATGCGATGGCCTTCATCAGGGTCCACTTCTCGGGCGCGGCTAATAGAATCAAACTCCTCAGCTCCGAGGTCTTTTTGGCCCTTTTAGCCGAACGCGTGACGAATGTCGAGACGTCGGATTTGACGGTGTTGGTTGCGTGATGTCTTAAACCAATGAAGGCCGCACGGTTCTTCTTCGGCACTTTGATGATCCGCGTGGCCAGGTAAGAGTCGAATAACTTGTGCGACACGCTGATACCGCGACATCCTGCTTTTCGTAGGATGCCAGGGTTAGACAGCAATTTCCAGAGAAGTGTCATTTTAAACGCAGTCTGATTAGCGTAATGCGTGACATCAGCTCATAAGAGTTTAGTGAATGGAAAATAAATTATGTACACGCGCGCGAAAGACAACCGCGTTCAGTCAGACTAACCTCAAACTACGACTGTGCGAGATTTTATACCGCGGCTACGTGTATGATGCGGGTGAATTTTTGTAAAAATCTAGCAAGAGAAACACTCGATCAATCGACCGTTTCGCGATAATGCGTATCAGTACTAGTTGATAAGTACTAATCCAGGAAGATTTTTCGTAAAATTATGCTCGCCACTGTCACGTTTTCTCCGCACTTTTGCTCAATTATTAAAGATCAATTGTATGAAATCTAAGTAAAATAAACTCTTCACGTCTCGCTGATAAACTGCCTCTATTTAGACAATCATCAGCTAACTTGTCAATCAATGGGTAAAATATTGAATAACAATCATGACTCGTAGATCTTGAAAGTTTCACGCTCGACCAACACGATTGTTAATCATCATAAGTTCAAAATATATCGATTCCCAAATGAGTTATTTCACGTGAATTGAAAAGATTCATATAGACGAGTTTGCATGAAAACCATGAAACGTAGGAATATCTGAACTGAGCATCAGGCATTTTCACGGATGTGAGGATGAAGTTTTAGGACTATCGCACACAAATTGACATAACTGCACATGCATAGCATAAGATCGTATGGACCAATGAGCATCGAATATTAAGCATCGAACACCAATATGGCGACTTAATACTCGATGCTCATTGGTACATACGGTCTTATGCTATGCATATGCAGTTATGTCAATTTGTGTGCGATAGCCCTAAGGGTTAGGGGAAATATTCGCCATTTTGGGCTGCATGCCGATTCTCCATCCGGCGGAGATCACCTGGGGTACGTTCGTTTTGGACGCTCACATACTTAAAGCGCTCACGCTTATGAGCGCTATTTTTGCCCGGTTACTTTGATTTCTAAGCGCACTCATCGAAAAGATCAAAACCGTTTCCTTTGGCTGTTGTAAGCAATTGTGAACGTAAAAATGGAGGATAAAGATAAAGAAATTGTTTGTGTATTTGCTCAAATATTAGTTTCATTAGATGTTTTTGATGATAACGAAACAAATAACTTATATAAAGAAGAATTAGAAAAGTATTTATCCGTAATGATTGAATCGATAAAAAAAAAAACAATACCTTGGTTAAAAAACTATGTGGAAGTGATTGTACCATTATACAATGATGAAGTATTTAAGTCACATTTTAATAACTTTGCACTTTATAACTTTTGTTTTATTTAAGATCAACGATTTTAACTTTCATATTCATGTTTTATACAACAAAATATGAAGATTTAGGTAAATTTGTGAGAAAGTCCGTTTCCTTCATCAAATGTATTACTAGTGTTGCTGAAATATTACTTATTTTTTTTTTAAATTACTGTTGGACAGTGCTTTATTACTCAAAATAAATATGATTTAATAACAAAAATAATAAATTTTTATGAGAGGTGTCCTAAACTTACCTGTTTCTACACGTTTTGCCTCATTTGATGTAACAACAAGTGTATACATTTTATTATTTGTAACATCTTGCAGAGTTACTCTGGTTTTATTACTCTCGTTGGAAGTCATTTTGAAACACTATTTCACTTTAAGGTTTATATTGGAGGTTAGATTGCGTCGATTTCATCGACGCAATCTAACTTATCGTTCTCTTTGGAAAATAAGCGCTTATAAGTGCTCACGCTTTTACTACCCTACCTCGATAGAAGAAGTGAATGTAAGTGCGAGTTATGACGTCACGCATGACGTCAATATGCAGTTTCTAAGCGCTTATAGCGCCAAAGTAAACGACGTGAGCAATATTTATAAGCGCTTAAAGCGCGTAAGCGTTCAAAACGAACGCACCCCTGGTGGTTCATCAAAATTGATATATACATAGGCTGCGTTCCGAAATTCACTGCCAGTACTGAAATTCTATAGTTCATGTCACGTATACTATAGAATATCAGTACTGGCAGTGAATTTCGGAACGCAGCCATAATACGCGATATATGTAGACCCATGGCAGATTTACACTGCGTTTCGATGTACGATGACACCAGGATGATACGATATCCAATAGTAGAGTTTCTTTCCTAGGGTGCGTTCGGGGAGCACGTTACCATCACTACCATATTATTCTATCTTTATCGTTCCCTAGATGTACAAGGACAGAATGACACGGTAGCGCTAAATAGTGCTAATAGCGTTCTTCGAACGTACCCCTAGAGTTTCTGATATTTTTGTCTGCAAAGAACCAATTCTCCTATTGGATATCGTTGTCGCATGTTGGATGTCGCGCAGTGTAAATCATGTATTTTTAGAGTTATTTTGAAATATAGATTAATTATTCTTGCGTCTGCACAATCGCGCGGCGTAATTCTATAAAGCATTCTCGCCTTATAAACATACATATTACATTTTATTTACATTTTTTAAACAAATTTATTTAATATAATAGAGCCCAGCAACGGTATCCCATTTTGCTTGTCCTACATACTATCAGAGAGAAGGCTGAGAGCGGTCACGCCATACGTTTTGGCCGACACCGATTTTCACGCTATTCGATGCGCCATCTGCACCCATTTTTTAGGTGGAACTACGTTCCCTACGTCCATTTTCAGACGCTGCCGGTAAAGTGTCGATTTGTTGCGTGTTCATTCTACGCCCATTTTCTGGCGATTCGTGTCCGGGCTAAGCGCATAATTGCGTGATTGAAAATATGGACTGTCCATGTTCTTAACCACGCAATTATGCGCTTAGTCCGGACACGAATCGCCAGAAAATGGGCGTAGAATGGACACGCGACAAATCGACACTTTACCGGCAGCGTCTGAAAATGGACGTAGGGAATGTAGTTCCAGCTCAAAAATGGATGCAGATGGCGCATCGAACAACGTGAAAATCGATGTCGCGGTCAAAACGCATGGCGTGGCCGCTCTCAGGATTTTCTCTGATACTATCTTGATACCGCGCATGCGCATATAGTCTCTCCAATGTCGTATAGCACTTGTCCCAGAACACGTTCTCTTGCTGCGCGAGACACGTAAACATGGCGCTTAACCTCACCGTCAAAGTGCATCCCGTAGTTCTATTTCAAATCGTTGATGCCTACGAACGACGGAAAGCGGAATCCTTGCGGGTTATCGGTACCTTATTGGGTAATGTATACATTCACATGAAACAACAGCGTGGAACGTCTTACGTTTTCGCTCTGCATTCGGTCGCATCAGGGATCGTATTCTTGAAAAGTATCGCATATATTACGATGAAAAGCTGTAATAACATGAACTATAGCTTCGTAGAAATATTATATGATATTTTTCGAGAATAAGGCTCCTGAAACGTTTGAGCGCGATTTTTAACAGCCGCGCTCTGATCGACATGTGTTCTGATTTCACTAAATGACAGGTACCGTGGAGAAAGGCATTGTCGAGGTTACCAACTGCTTTTGCGTGCCTCACAAGGAGTCCGAGAGTCAGGTGGAGGCCGATTTAACCTATGGTATGGACCTGTACGATTTGAATCACAGAGTCAATGCGCAAGAGAATATTGTTGGTTGGTGGGCCACTGGCAATGAGGTGATCTCTTTTCTACTTCTTTCTCTTTAGTCTTTTTGTAATGTATACTTCCAAATTTCCAAGTAAACATATTGTTTCAGGTCACTACACATTCGTCAGTCATACATGAGTATTATGTGCGAGAATGTAATAATCCAGTACATTTGACCGTTGATACCACATTAACAAATACTACAAGAATGGCGATTAAAGCTTACGTATGTGTCCCATTGGGAGTGCCCAATGGAAAGCAGGGATCTATGTTCACACCGGTTAAAGTACAGGTTTGTCAAGAGATTAGTTTGGCAAAACATATGATACTTCTAACAAACTTATATTTGAGGTCTTTTATCTGAGATTGCCAGTGTATAGTTTATTTTATGATACTGTGTAGCTCTTTGGCTACACATTGTGTCTTAAGATGAAGGCAACTGATTTATTCCATATATGTTTTGTAATTATTATATATCTTATATCATTTTAATTTTATATATGTTCTAATTATTATATATATCTTCTCATATGCTGGTGTTTAATAATGTTGGATCTGTTTGTGCAGATTACATGCTACGAGCCAGAGATAGTAGGATTGCAATTATGTTCCAAGACTCAATTGCAGACCCACGTGCAATTGCCTAGCATGAAATCCGCCGGAGGAATAGAGCCCATGATGGATCTCGCGCAAGTCTCGGAAGCTTGTTCCAAGCTCTCTTTAATGCTGGAGCAAGTGCTCACGTATGTCGATGATGTTCTGGCTGGAAAACAATTGCCAGATAATCAAGTAAGCGTAGACATATGACAGTTGTTACTTCCAGAGTTTGCCGTTACACAATATCAATATCATTTTGCCGTTTTCAGGTGGGCAGAGCGCTCCTGGACATGGTGCATTCCGTGCCGAAGATGTCCAGCGATCAATTTGACGAGATGTTCAATAGTAACGTCAAAGATCTTCTGATGGTAGTCGCATTATCTCAGCTGATCAAGACGCAGTTGCAACTCAATGAGAAACTTACGTTACTTACGACTCTGTAACGAAACGCGTCTGGCCAAATAAAAATGAAAATATGAAAATATGAAAAATAGGAATGATAACGATGATGTTTTATACTCCGGTTTTTACGACGTTTCTTACGACTAAAATATTCTTTCGCGAAAGGATGACTTTTAATAAAGTATAAAAAGAGCGACTCCGGCGTTGACTGAGAGACATAATAAATAAAACGATTTACTTCGCCTTCTATACATTAGATTACAAAATTTTAACGTTAATTCGTAAGACTCCTCATACTTCGTACGATGTCTCATCTTTCTGATTGTCCACGAGACTGCACCAATCGGGAACCCGGCTCGTCTTCAGATACATCTCCTTTGTTAAACATCGCAACGGCAAATCTGTTGTACCGAAGATAGCACCGCCCAACCACACAGTGTAGTTTGGTTTGCTAGGCGCTCTGTGAAACGCGAACGATTCCACTTTCAACTTATTTTTATATAGATCACTCTTGACTAAAGCCAACAATTCAGACTTCAGACGGCTCGCGAAACCCTTCGCCATCGTCGTCCCACCGACAAGTATTATATTTTCAGCCAAGACGCATCTCGTGTCCAAAGGGCACTAGAATGCAAAGTTAGTCATTATTATGCGACGTTAGATATGCTTCTTGTTATGAAAATAAATCCTGTAGATGTATTACTATGTTCTATTAGAAAAATACTATAGATACTGGCTCTTATTCTGAACTCACTTTTATTGACAAAAGTACCTCTAAATGTAACTTATAAGCCTTCTGATTGGATTATAAACATGTTTAAGGCTCCTGGGGAGTCGCATCATCCATCTCTTTTTAATGACGTCAGAAGCGAGAAAACGCATGCTAAAAATTCCTGCAAAATACGTCGAGATAAACAGATATATCCACAAAACGACATTTGCGATCGATTAAGTACA